AATTGCGTACGCATCCTTTGTTCTACATCGGCATGCTGAAACCTTATCGGGATCCGTCCCAAATAGACGCTAAGGCGCTTGCGCTGAGCCCATTTGGCATTGTCGCAGGACGAATCATCTGCACTAACAGGTCAAGCTGAACCTGCACTCGGGTTCGGCTTTCTTCCAGCGACTCAAGACGGAAGTTCATCGACTGCACATCCTCACAGAGAGACCGCACCTCTTGGAGTATCTCGGCATGAGCTTGTGCCGGTACACCGGCCTCCTCCGGCTTTGATTAATGGACAGGGGAACCTGCAGTTCCATATTGAACGTCTGTTGCAGAAACGTCGCCGCCATGGTCAAAACCAGTATCTGGTGAAGTGGCGGGGTTATCCCGAGTCGTGGAACTCATGAGAGCTCGAGGTTTCCTTACGGCAGGATTGCCCGTACGCCGCAGACGTTTTTGAACGTCGTGTGCAGGTCCAACCTGTTGGTGATGGCATTTCTCACCAGTAGTGGTGAGGATGGACGAGCTCACGGCCTCAGCCTGTCGTGAACTCGCGACTACGAGTGTAGCCGAAACACTGGAGTGATGCGTAGCAGACGCATATTGCGTTCGTTGTGGCTTCAAGTTGACTCGGGCCTTCATTTTCAGAGTCATCGTAATGCATTTTCCGTTCGAGACGAACGTCTGCCACGTCGGCACTTGCTCGGAGAGCCCACATGCTGCTTAAGCGTCGTGCATAGTGTGCCAAGCGGCTCAATGTCTTATCCTCTTCCTCCTACATTTCTTTTGCGAATAAAAGAATGGGAGGGACTGGTGCACCAGGTACTTGCGTAATGAGGCATGCCAAGTATTGACTTTGCGTGGTAGTGTGGGTTCCAGGTACCGTTGTCGAAGAGCCGTTCGCGCAGCGACATCCTCAGGCAAAGTTGCCTCAGGCCCTATGGCCCAGCCCAAGAGGGCGTAGAACCGTGTATAGTAAACGAATTTCTTGTCATCTTCACACTCTAGTGTGGTTAAAGGGGACCCATCGGGGTTTAAGATGACAGTGTCACTTTTGTAATCACCGCTTCGTCAAGGTCGCCCTCAATGAGATCCCAAAGAGTCTGTAACTCAGTGCCGGGAGGCGTCATGTGTGCCATGCACAACCGTAAGGCTTAACTTTCGCTAAAGCACTACATCAAAAAGAATTGTGTCGAATGACATTCTATTGGAACGTCAGTCTGGTGGGGAAGAGTGTAACGGAGTTACACGATGGTTGTAACATCATACCGAAAGGACATTACGGTTGAAGTTCTATATTGCATGTTATGCATCCTTAATACCGATCCTTGTAAAAAAGGGGTATCATAAGTGAGTGATAGTATAAGGTATCAGTAATACCTTATACTATCGATATTAGTTTCATCATTGATACAGTAGTACTAAGTACAACATGCACTGATGATTGGATGATTCCATATCCAGATACAAGCAATGGCATATTATAATTATTTTAATTGTAGTTAATCTAGTGTAGGTTACTTGAGTAGGATTTCTCGCATAATTTAAAGCATATATAAAATCAGTTCTCATTTTGACTTAAAGATCTCAAGTCTTGATAGACTCGTTCTCTTGTGCACTTCGTGCGTTGGTTCTCTGAACCTCTAAGTTCCTAGCTTGTTCTTGCACTCTGTTTGTTAATTCTCTGCTTAAGCTATTGCTTGTAGACTAAAACTCCCTCTTAGTTCCTTAGAACAGGGTGACTTCTTAGTCGCTTAGTTAGTTCCATATAATTAAAGGGCTTTTAGCCCAAACTTTAACTAGTTCCGTAGAGCTAAGTGGCTTGTAGCCGTCATATTGAATTAATTTTATAACTAAGAAGCTTTTAGCCTCAAAGCCCTCCCTCTGACTAAAGACTGTGTAGCTTTACTACATGAGCTGTACATGACGTGGCATGCGCGCCAATCAGGGTCCTTGGCATGCCTTATCGCATGCAGTGATGACTTCGCGTTCAGTTGATCGCCTTTCGCAGTCGCGCGGATTGCTTTTAATAAGTCGTGGATCGCGGTGTGGTGAAATGATCGAAAGGTTCGAAAAAAATAATCTAGCAAATACCGTTGTTCCAGAATCCCGCTCTAAAAATGTCCAATAAGCCGTACGAGACGGTTGGAGAAGGAAGCAGCGGCATCAAGAACACAAGATATATAGATCAAAAGTTTATCTGGTGTAGACTACACACCACAGTCGTGATTCGAATAGACTGATTCGAAGACCAGATTAGGACCGACGAGTCTGGATAGACGGATCGGATCAAGACCAACGAGCCCGGATCGACGAATCAGATCAGGACCAACGAGTCCGGATCGATGGAATAGATCAGAATCGACAAATACGAAACGACGGATCAACGGATCAAGATTACAATCCGTATCCTAGCTACAAATAGATCCGTAACCTCGATCTGAAACTGGATCGCGATCCGTATCCAGTTACATATCGATCCGTTGCCTCAAATCCGAAAACCAGAACGAGATCGAAATCACGATAGTATCTGAGGTGGTCCACATATTGAGATATGATTTATTTTTAAAAATGGCGACACGTGGGAGCAGATTCTAGACAACAAATGGGCAAATTCATAGGATTGGCATTTGACTATTTAGCATTTACAGAACTATATTTGCTTAAAAGGACACGTGTTGACTTCTCTTCCGGGCTGAATATTTTGGCCATCCGACGTCGAAGACATTGCCTGCAAGCTCACCCTGATTTTTTTTGGGTCAGGTAAAGGAACTGTTAGGATGCAACAACTACGATTGGAAGTATCAACATGTAAAGTAAGGCAAAAGCAAGTGCAGGGAGGATCAAGTGGTCTGAAGGCTCTGCTTTAGCGGTCAGAAGTAAAAGCTTCGCCTTATTGGACAATTGAAATCATTTGGGAAGATTAAAAACAAGTACCTATTGATCATGTCAAGTCCCTACACAAGATCACCAATCCCCCTATCCTTAACATTATTAGGATCAGCATCGACTCAAGTCCACCGAGAAGAATGCAACCCGCCCGACCGAAGTTACACAAGGTGAGGAAGTCTTTGTACACAAAGCCGGGGTACCTTCTCCAGTTGTCACTCGTCCGTGCGCCAGTGAAAGTCGAAATCACATCAGAAATATTGTAAATCCCACTCCACCACAGCGGTAACAGGGTAGGGAACCGCGAGCATATCCATTACTCGCCCTTGTTAACTGAATATAGCGAATAACCTTGGACGTTACCCTCTGTTGAATTGCGATTCGCCACTTTAAGTCCTGTCAGACTTAGCCGGAATACGCGATCCACATCTCCTGGAATAACGATGATCGTCACCTTACTATCCAATCATTGGAATCCAGCGAATAAAACGTGACTGATGAGTCAACATACAACTAGGCTTCCAGCTGGGGAGCCGCATCATTCACAAAAAGTTACGCTTATCACCTCTCGAAGCTGTTTGTCCATTAATCAGATGTCCAGTCGAAGGTGATCATCTCCTTAACGTTTGCGAGCAGCTGTGTGATTCAATTACATTGTGGAGAGTTAAATCAGCTTATCTTCGAAACGAGCCGGATTCAAGTCAGGATCAAGACCCACTCAGACAATTGGCTCGATGAGTCAGCAAGTGCGATCATACAGAGCGAAAAAAATTTGTAGGCCGGGTGTAGTTTACCTCTACTAAATTCGGTGCTCAAGCGACTCCACGGAAACGAAATCACGTACCACATACTACATTCAAGACGTTGGTAACCCGGACTGATACTTTCGCCTACTAAAATGGCTAAGACGCGTAATCCATAGCAGCTGCAGAAATAAAAGAAAGATTCGTGGAAATTTGGCCGGGGTCGCTGACACGGATGAGAAAGCCAAAAACGTATGTTTAGCCCGCAATTCCCTGGCGTGACGCGAGTAGTCGTACGAATGGCTTTGCTCCGACGCGCTCCATTCAGATAGGCGAATGACATGACGTGAGCCGGACTAACAGCGTGCGGAACCATAATAATAAAAGGCTGCTTCCATAATTTGTCGCATCGTAGGTCTCGATCGTGAACCCCGAACGACAGCCTAGTGAGATCAATTACAAAGATCCGCTAGCGACAAATACAGTAGATGAGGCATCTAGGTGCCGTCGTGGATTGACGGAAATTTGGGGAGAAGACTAGGCATGGCAATAATGGCAGATCGCGCTTTCGAGAAGGTAGAATTTTGACGTCCGCAGCGCAAGACGTTTACTTCTTCTTGGTGGCGGCTGGAGGCGATGGTTGCCAGACAGCCTTGCGCGAATGTGTACCTCACGCCACTGCAGGAAGTGATGATGGTAAAGCAGGTAGGGAAGCGGGTGAGGAGAAGTCAAGACAGGTGGCATAGCTGAGGCGTTCAACAAAACGACAGGCGCTGCCCCACTAGCGAGAACAAAAACCAATGGAGCAGTTATCGGCGCTACCCCACGAGCAACAGACGGGAATGATGACGATGGATTAACTACCGCCAGATTTAGTTCGACTGGAGAAGGCGTAGAAAATAACAGGAGAAGCTGTCGTCAAGGAGGAGTAACTGGAGCTGTTACAGACGAAAATGTGGCCGTGTTTGGAACTACAGAAAGTCGTGAAGACCGACTTTGTAATGGGGCAACCTTATACATAATTACATAAGTGGTCATAGGGAAGTTAATGCGCGTCATTTTAATATTAGCTTATTTTTGGGTTGTCATAATCAATAAGTATTTAAAAATACGTCGACCTCCATTTGAGTAAATTTTTATATACTAGGGAGCACATTCGCACTTAGTTCGAATTATATTAAAAAAAAAGCTGAGTTATATTTACGAGTCTATGAAGAGCGCTTTCTCAACGCCCTACTAGTTTAAGACGGTAATGGGCACTTACCCCATTACATGCTTTCAAGATCCGCTCCGCGAGGTAATCTCGGCTTCGACTATGCCTGCTGGACGACGATGAGCACGACGCAGCGGCACCTGATCTGCAGACATTTGCATAGATCATGGACAGAAGGATTGTCGACGCTGACAGTTATGCGTTGTGCGACTGGAGAAGGCTATATTGGTTCCATCCCAGACCGGATCCGAGAGCTGCTCCTGCCCTCCGCTGCTGTTTTGGCTGCTTCCGCTGGTCCTCGGCCTCCTGTGTCAGCACGTCGCCGCCAGTGACCGCCCCGTGTGACGCGCAATCAACTCGAGCACCGCCTGGACGAGGCACTGGACAACCTAGCGGACTTTCCGCGCTCGACACCAGGGGATCGTCATGCTATGAGAAAGGCGAGACGACGTGCTGGAAGTGTTTGTGCTTCGGTGGACAAGAAGCAACTGCGTCAAGCGTTCGCTCAGGACGATGCCACGTGCTTGTGGAAGATTTTGCAGAGTGCGTTGCGGGGTCAGCGGTGGAGGAACACTCCGAGTCGTGCCCAATCGGCCGCGAGGAACTCCACCGTTACTTCACAGGCACCAGCACGGCTCCTGCGACGTTCGACTACACGTCGACGTCTGGCCAAGTGTTCCGTGCAGCGCTTTACACCTTCCAGCCTTCCGCTTCGGCCCTTGATGCGTTCGCGGGTGACCTGCTCATCGATGAAGTGAAAGTACTGCTTTCGCGCGCGACCAATACATCAAGCCTGGACAGGACGGCATCGGCCACGAGTCTACCGCCGCTTCGCTGCGCAGCTGGTCCCACTTCTCTACGCCGCGCTCTAGTTTTGTTATTTGCATAGGCGTGTAGCTAGCACTTGTGAAAGCTTGGCTTCGTTCGCCTCATTTTGAAAAAGGGTGACCAGGGTGAAGCTGGAGAACTGGCGGCCGATATCGTTGCTGCCCACGATTTACAAGTCTGTACAGTGGGCTGCTGGCTACGCCGATTATCGCGCTAATTGGAAGGCAACGATTGGCAGCCCATGGCACAGAAGGGGTTCAGGGCCTTCAACGGATGTCATGAGCACAACTTTTTGGCCACAACCATGCTGGACCAGACGCGACGCTCGCATCGCAAGCTATACCAAGTCTGGTATGACTTGCGTAACGCATTTGGCTCCCTGCCTCAAGATCTTATGTGGCGAGTACTCCGCCACCTCGGCGTTGAGTCCCGGTTTCTGAACCGGTGCCAAGATATATACCATGATTCGACTTTCGTGGTGGCTAATGCGAAGGATGGTGCAACGGATCCGGTACGGCAGGCGGTGGGAGTGTACCAGGGGTGTCCTCTCAGCCCGCTTCTGTTTATTGCTGCACTGGTTCCGCTGGTTCGCCGTCTGGAGCTCCTGGAAAATGTTGGCGTGCCACTGGCGGCGGATGTGCGACCATGCACCAGCGCCTACGCGGATGACATCAAGGTCTTCTGCGATAGCGCCGACGGTATCCAGCGCTGTCATGGTGTGGTCAAGCGCTTCCTGGCATGGACTGGACTGAGGGCGAACCCAGCCAAGTGTGCCAGTTTGGCTGTGAAGACAGGTCCACGTGGCGCTCCTGTTCGTGATGAGAGTGTGCGACTGGAGCTTTACGGTGAAACCATCACCCCACTCGGTCTCAATGAGAGTTATCGGTATCTTGGGGTGGGTGATGGTTTCGATCATGTGCGACACCGCCTACAGCTGGAACCCAAGATTCAACAGCTCAAGCCGAGAGGCGTTTAGATGGTTTTGTTACGTGCAATCTGGATGCTATACAATTCTATGTGAGCTTTGCAACAGCCTTGAGACTGTACAGCACGGTGGTAGCCCTTAACGCTGCACAGCTTGACACCTCCGTCTGCGTTACACTTGTGTTTAAATTGCGCCACCCGTTTGCACCAGTCTCGGTGCAGAGACGTTCGCCACCACGCCCCAAATAAGCATTGTTTAAGCTGCAAATCTAGTGGATCTTTCCACTTCTCAGCGGCGGCGACGGTAGTGCTGGATAGCTGGATCAGATGCTTCCTTTTCGGCTTTGGCGGTATCTGAGTTAAGTATTACCGATGTGCCATTTGTATCTGGGTGTTTTGGCGATTCACTTCTTTTCCTCTCGGTCTTAATCGTCGATGCACTAGTTGTTGCATCTGTTGCATCGATCCTGTAACGGGATAAATACATATTTCCGTCTTACACTTAAAGGCAATAAGGAAGCGCTTTGAATTAACTCGTAAATATACTCAGCTTCTTTTTGCTTAGTTTTAATTCGCAGTAAGTGCGAGTATGTTCTCTAGCTCATGGGAACAACTCAATATAAGAGTCAATATAAGAGTCACTTTATTATTGGCTAATTATCGGGTCTAACACCCCAATGATAAACCAATAATAAGATGACGCACAGTATCCACTAATCGGATACTAATCGCTGAATCTCTCTCCATCAGCTCGATTATATTGTACGCTATGTTTAAAAGTGCAAGTACACTTGGTATTGACTCCAGAGCATCAATCTACGCTAGGATATATGGAATGTTGTAGAGGCTTCTAGTTGCTTCTATGGATGTGATAGATCTTAATAAGGAAGATGATCGGGTGGTTCTCACTTGTAAATTGTCAAAGCCACTGACGAGGACCCGGTGGGGACCGAAACGCGTCTGGCACGCGTTAATATAGAAGTTATTCATGTTAACTATATTCTTACTTTCCAACAGGTAATAATCCCACGCGGCTTGATTTGGTAACTATTCGGTACGATGGGATGTGCTCCAGGGCTGCTCGTGCATGACGTCGCAAAAGGTATCGACGAGTATGTTAAAACGAATCGCATGAGCGCATGCGACACGCAGCTGCTACTTACGTTCGCGAAAGGAACTACCAACCTCTGCAACAAAAGGGAAGTCAAGTGAAGTGGTGACTGGTCAAGAGGAAAGTAGAACTACGGACAAGCTCAACGATTACAGCAAGATGTTAAGACGTTACATGGTGCTTCTTGGCAAATGGACGTGTTAATTCGATCTCTTCGGTCTATGCTCGCCTTCTTCTTATCAACTACTTCTCTAGCGTGTGGCGCACATACGCATGACGGCTTGCCGTAATAGAAGGAACTCAATTACTGCAGCAGAATATACAGACGAAGTGTACTTTCTAGGAGCAAAAGTAGCAGCATGAGGCGCAATGGAATGCATCGCGTAGGGACTTGTAATGCTGCTGGTCACATTTTTAACGTCAACTACTGCATCGACAGCAACACTATATGCCTTATATTTTATCATCGAAATTTTCAGCTTCATGCCATCGGCAAATAACATCTCATTAAGCTTGGAGATGGGGAACTCCGAGGCTCAAATTGCAAGAAGCACTGAAACGCGAGGAGGCCTGGCACTTTTGGTGTTAACTTTGTTGATGCATGCACCGCATTGTTGATTTTGCAAACTCGTCAAGCAAAAGAAGTGAACACCACGACGTGAACGATATCGCATAACTGCGCAGAACATCTTTAAATAATCGTTTCGCGTGCTTTATTTGCCCATGCTTCTTCGTACGAGCTTCCATAGATATAAGCAATGCGTTTCTGATAGCTATAATTTGTGATCTTAGATGATCGAAGTGATACGCGGATCGCATCCAGATACAATGAACTCTAGTAAACCATGATGCTGGAAGATAAGAGACAGCGGAAGATCTCTGCGGTAGTTTCCGTCGTACGGTTGAGCAAGTGCATGGGGCGGCTGTGGTGAAGTGCTAATTTTGTGATATGGAGGTCCCGGACTCCAGTTGGATTTAGAGTATAGGCCGTGGGTCAGGGACAGGGGACCAGAGAGACAGGGACCTCAAAGGTGAGCGACCGTTGGTGGAGGACAATCCGCAGGATTCGCCGACGAAAAATCAGTATCAGGGTACCGGTTAACCGGTACCAAAGGGAGTTGATCATGGCCGCTCATTGATCGACCTGGCCCCTCGTTGGTAGACCCGGGTCCCTCATCGGTCGACCTGGGTCCCTCATTGGTCGACCCGGTCCCTCATTGGTCGACCCGGTCCCTCATTGGTCGACCCGGTCTCTCATTGGTCAACCTCGGCCCCTCGGGGTTCAGCGACTCCGGACCAGTTAATACAAGGATCAGACCATTCGACGCAAGGAAACAGAGCTTCAGGCAAGGATAGAGTAAAGGAGTTAAAAGGATAGGACTATATTAAATACTACTCAATTTGCGATCTACTTGGCAAGTCTTCGTCGCGCTGTAAAGGAGCTCGAGTCTGGCCACACGCCTGTTCCGGGGAAGGGATATATTTGGCCCCCCCGTTGAAGACAGGCGTGTGGTCAGACACAAGTGCGAGCTGAACCCCACGCGGCACGACTTAGTCACCCGAGAAGAACTTGCTCTAAGTTACTCACTGTTCCGGGAAGGGATGAATTTTGGCCCCCCGTCGAAGACAGTTGTGTAGCGAAGTTCAAGTGCGAATAGAGCTCCAGGATATGTTTGGCCTGTGAGCTCGTTCGAGTAGCAACACCCCCCCCCCCCCAAGATCCGCTATCGGAAGCGGTCTCCCTCACCTCAAGGTCCGGGAGCAACGTAAAGGTCAGGTGGTTAATACCCCTGAAACACGAAGGAAAAGGCCAGGGACGACAAGCGCCCTGAAGAATTTGGCTCTAAGTCCACTCTCGACAAGGTCGATCGAGTGGCCACCTACCGGCCCACCGAGTGAAGCATGTCCACTCGAGGCCCCCCAGGTCTACCTCCCTCAAGGCAGACATCTACATCGTCACCAAGTCCTCCGAAGAGTGCAACCCGCCTGCCGACGGGTACACAAGGTGAGAGAAGGTTCATACGCGTCATCGGGGTACCCCCTCCGACAGTCGGCAGTCCGGCACAGTGAGTGGTTTGGGGTCTCATCATACAGTTTTGAGAACCCACTCCACCACAACGCCGCCTCAACGAGCAAGATGATCCACGGACCGCCGTGGATCTCGACGTGCTCATGGAAGGAATCGACGTGGAACTCTTGGACGAGTTCCCTCACGACGTGCAGATGGACGACGCGGCTGCCCGCCTGACGCGCTGGGGACCCAGCCGTCGCGAGCTGGGCGCCACTGACTCTGCACAGTCGGTGACGGGTGAAGCGACGGTTCCTGCTCCGGCAGTGCGAAGACCACTGACACCTGTCGTGCCTGGCACTCGTGCCACGCGGTGGGGGCCATGTCACCGCGCGATCGGAGTGGCAGCCGTTGCTCACCTTATCACCGGAGAAGATACTACGCCTGCTCCGCCGTGCCCCCGTCGTGTTCAGCCGATGGGAGATCAAGTCATCGCCTCTGCGCCTACCCTACCGAGCCCAGCACCACCCACGTCAACAATTACCTCGGCCACTCTGCCTGCAGTGGAGGTGGAACACCCAGAGCCTCCTGCAGTGGAGCCCTGGACGCTGCGCTTCGATGGTGCCTGCCGCCGGAACCCCGGGCCTGGTGGCGCCGGCGCGGCGTTGTTCGATCCAAGTGGTGCTGTGGTGTGGACGTGCTCCCACTTTCTCCCCTGCAGGAACGAAACCAACAACACTGCTGAGTACACGGCATTGTTGGTGGGGGTTCGTGGGGCACTGCACCACGGTGTTACGCGGCTGGTGATCGAGGGAGATAGCCACCTGGTACTTTCCCAGGTGCGCGGTAGCTTTGGATGCGTGAATCGGAAGCTCCGACGGCTACGCAACCGCGTACGCTCGGAGCTGAGGACGCTGAATTGGTATCGACTGAAGCACATCGACCGCAACGCCAATAGTCATGCTGACCGCCTCGCTAACCGCGCCCTCGACCGCAAGCGCACCAGCACAGAGTGTGGACAACATGCTGCACCTACAAATGCATGCTACGTCCCCAGCGCGCATACGGCGCCCGCCTCGCCTCCCACCCCTCCACACACGGTCTCGGCTGATACAACGATGTCGGCCAATGAGGATATCGTGGATGAGGCGATGGCTGATATCGAGGCTGAGATTGCAGCGCGCGACGGCGGCGAGGCCTTCCCGACGTTGCCTATCGGGCCAGGCTCCGCTCCTGCGAGGCAACCTCGGCTTCGACTGCGCCAGCTGGCCGACGATGAACACGACGCAGCGGCAGCTGCTCTGCAGACGTTTGCAGAGAGCATGGCCAGCAGGATTGCCGACGCTGACAGCTGGGCAACTGGGGAAGGCTATATCGGTGCCATCCCGGACCGGATCCGAGAGTTGCTCCTGCCCTACGCTGCTGTTCCGGCTGCTTCCGCTGGCCCTCGACCTCCTTCCCCAGACCGCCGGCGCCGTCGACCGCCCCGTGTGACGCGCAACCAACGCGAGCACCGCCTGGACGAGGCACTGGACAACCTAGCGGCCATTCAGCGTTCAACACCAGGGGATCGGCGGGCAATGCGGAAGGCGCGACGACGTGCTGGACGGGTTCGTGCTGCGGTGGTCAAGCAGCAGCTACGTCAAGCGTTCGCTCAGGATGAGGCCAAGTGCGTGGAGAAGATCCTGCAGAGTGCGTCAGCGGAGTCAGCGGTGGAGGAGCACCCCGACTCGTGCCCAATCGGGCGCGAGGAACTCCACCGTTACTTCACCGGCACCAGCACGGCTCCTGCGACGTTCGACTACACGTCGGCGTCTGGCCAAGAGTTCCGTGCAGCGCTGGACAGCTTCCAGCCTGCCGATGTGGCCCCTGATGCGTTCACAGGTGAGCTGCAGTTTGATGAGGTGGAAGATCAGCTTTCGCGAGCGACCAAGACATCAAGCCCGGGACACGACGGCATCGGCTACGATGTCTACCGCCGCTTCGCTGAGCAGCTGGTCCCGCTCCTCCACGCCGCGTTCCAGTTTTGTTGGTTGCATCGGCGTGTGCCCGCTCTCTGGAAAGTTGGATTTGTGCGCCTCATCCACAAGAAGGGCGACCCAATGCAGTCGACAAACTGGCGGCCGATATGTCTGCTGCCCACTATCTACAAGCTGTATAGTGGGTTGCTGGCACTTCGGCTCTCACGCTGGCTCGAGAGTAACGCGCGTTTGCCCATGGCACAGAAGGGGTTCCGGCGGTTCAACGGTTGTCACGAACACAATTTCGTGGCAACTACTCTGCTGGACCAGACCCGGAGGCAACACCGTCGTCTCTACCAGGTCTGGTATGACCTGCGCAATGCCTTCGGGTCACTGCCCCAAGAGCTCATGTGGCACGTGCTTCGCCACCTCGGCGTTGAAGCCGATTTTGTTGCTCGTTGCCAAGACATTTACTGTGGATCGGCGTTCGTGGTCACCAATGCGGTTGACGGAGCCACGGACCCAGTGCGACAGGAGGTGGGTGTATACCAAGGTTGTCCACTCAGCCCCCTCCTGTTCATCGCTGCTTTGGTGCCACTTGTTCGTCGCCTGGAGCAGCTGGACGGCGCTGGTGTTCCTCTGGCGGAAGATGTGCGACCGTGCGTCTCCGCCTACGCAGACGACTTGAAGGTCTTCAGCGACAGTGCTGACGGCATCCGACGGTGTCACGGCGTGGTCACCCGCTTTCTTGCGTGGACCGGGTTGCGTGCGAACCCGGCCAAGTGTGCCAGTCTGGCCGTGAAGAGGGACACACGTGGCAACGCGATTCGTGATGACGACGTGCGTCTCGAGGTCCAGGGTGATGCCATCGCCCCACTCAGCCTCCAGGAGAGCTATACATACCTGGGAGTGGGCGATGGCTTTGACCACGTGCACCACCGCCTCCAGCTGGCACCCAAGATTCAGCAAGTTAAGCGGGAGGCGGTGGCGTTGATCCAGTCAGGGCTAGCACCGTGGCAGGTGGTGAAGGCGCTGAAGACGTATGTCTACCCCAAGGTAGAATATGCGCTTCGTCACCTACGCCCGCTCCAGTCCCAACTGCAAGGCTTTGATCGCGCTGTGTCCAAGGGCTTGCGGCACCTGCTGCGTCTTCCTCAGTCCGCCACCACCGAGTTCTTCTACACGCCGACATCGGGTGGTGGGCTGGGCCTGCAGTCGCTGGTGGAGATGCACCAAGCACTGCAGGTGGCGCATGCATGGCAGATGTTACATTCCAAGGACCCGGCGGTTGCAGCGGTGGCCCTGGCTCAGGTGGGACAGGTTGCTCGCAAGCGATATCGTTTGCAGGAGGAGCACTGGCGTGGGCGAGACGTGGAACTTGCTCGGCTGTTCCTGAATTCCCAGCTGGCAGCCTCGCCCCACGCCGAAGTGCTCCGCCGCAATGGTGACATCGGGTCGCTGTGGGTGGATGTGCAACGCATCCTGAGCACATTCCACCTCAGCTTCTCTGATTGTGCGGACGCCACGAACACGGACCCCCTTGGACTTCGCGTGCCGCATTACGGCCAGTGGCTTGACCACAAAACCGTTTTGCGACACGTGAAGCTCCACATGAAGATACGACACCAGACTCGGTGGAAGGGTCTGGTGGATCAAGGCAAGACCGTTCGTGTACATGGCGGTTTGGGGGCCAAGTTCGTGATGACGGGTGCGGGCCTTTCTGATGCTGAGCATCGGTTTGGCATCCAGGCTCGCCTCAACCAAGTCGACACGAATTCCGTGCTCAAGCGCCGTCGCCTCCGCGCAAACCACCGGTGTCGTGCCCCTTCCTGCTCGAGTGCCGAGACGCTGGCGCACGTGTTAAATCACTGTGCGCCCAACATGGACGCAATCCGCCAGCGCCATGATGACGCGCTCCAGCAGATCGGGTCCAAGATCCAGAACGCTCTCGCCCGAGCCAAGTCGTCTACAGAGCTGCGCCTGGACCACACGGTCCCCGAATATACCGGCGCAGCTCTTCGTCCGGACATTGTGCTGCGAGACGCAGCTGCCAAGACGATGGTGATTGCCGACCTGGCGATCACCTTTGAAGACCAATCTGCAGGCGCCCGGCACTCTTCGCTCCAGCTCAGCCACGATTACAAGACACTCAAGTACCAACCGATCGTGGCAGAACTGGAGCACAAGGGGTGGCGGGTGCAGACTGCAGCCATCGTCTACGGCTCGCTGGGCTCGGTGCAGCCCAGCAATTTCAAGACATACACGGAGAAGCTCAAGTTGCTCAAGACCGATGCTCGTCAGCTGGACCTTCAGCTGTCCAGCCACTGCATCCGTGCCAGCCACCGCATTTGGGGCTGGCACTGCAGGCAGCACAGGGAGCGACAGCATAGTGGAACCGCCCCGCGAGTGCCGCGTGGGTCTGGGGGGGCCTCGCGGCGCACATCGCAGGCGTAGGCACGACGACAAGCTGGTCTTTTGACCGACAGGGCACCACCCATGTAGGGAACCGCCCTCCAGAAACCCAGGTAGCTATACATACCCTCCCTTTATATGACATGCATATTAGCAAATTTAATTAGTCATGGAGAGGTTACTAACTGGTAATATAAAGAACTTTTCTGTTCTAATCAGTGTGAAAACTGGTTTCCTGACTTTCAGTTGGGGATTTTTCACATTCATTTTTGGAACTTCTATCGACACTAGCTTGCTAGTGTCGACGGAACGGTTTCCGGGGGCTTTCAAAACTTCCCCCGCGAGGCCAACAACTATACCTGGTCCTTCTTCTTCAAATTAATTATTCTTTATGTACCTTCTACTATAGACAACAACACATATACACAAAACATTAGCCTATTAATATTTTACTCTGTAAAAGTCCACTAAGTGTTGCACAATTGTCCCCAACTAGATGCTTTGGTAGAGCCAATTTCGCCACCCGTTGATTCTTACATGTCGCCCCAATTTTAAATCAAAATAGCACTAACGATTTAATGAATATGCTGTTAAAATTATTGTTATATTTTACTACCTTTCCACACATTTTGTATGCTACTGCCATATTGAAGAAAAACCCACAAATTCGCACTACTCCATTTCGAAGTACCTTCGCAGCGATACCTTCTCGGCCTACTGGCTAAGATCAAGTGTAGCACCTGTTCTAATCAGTGTGAAAACTGGTTGCGATAAAGGGAATTTCCTTAATTTCTTTTTTTTTTTATTTTTTTTTTTTAATAGGTCTCCGAGAGGTTACACCCTCTCTCTCGTGAGACCGACTACTACACTTGCTTGTTGCCTTTCTTCGCCCTCCGACCCTTCACCAACGCATCTTGGGATGCGCTTCTGGTGGCCGGATTGGCAGCCTCGAGAGCGCTCGCTGTCTTCCGACAGCGAGTGCTCTACGGCCAGCCACTCTAGTCTCGCCAGCGATGCGTCTTTTTATAGCGCGGATGCTGACGCAGAGATTAGAGCGGCTGACGACTCTTTGGGGTGGGACGGTCCACTAGGGGTCGGGTTACCCATTGTGGTATCCGCTTGCCCCCGTTTTGGACTCGGACGAGTCCCAAAATGAGTCTTTTGGCGCCCCTCGCGGGGCGCCATATCTCGGCGCCGACGGCGCCTCAGACGGTGCAACTTCGGGCACGGGTATATCACCTGCGGCGCCCATTGCACAGGCAACGACAACACGTGGCGACCACCTCGGGCGACCAGGCGCCAACCCGGTCTTCGAGCGCGACCTCGCGTCGTTTCGAAGATCGGGCAGCGGACGGACGTCCGCTCGGCCAGCCAATCAGCCACGCCCGGTCCTCTTATACTCGGTTTGAGTATAGGAGGAGGGCCACGTGGCGAGAATTCTCTCCCCTTCGCCTCCACTGCCAACGGCCACGATGGCCTCGCGCCCCCTATGCTTGGTCTGAAGAATAGGGCCCTTGGGCCCGGGGGCCCGGGGCACCGCGAATGTTGAGTTGGCACCCGGCAGGGCGGCAGGCATGCTGCCCGACCCGGTCGTGCCCGGGGTAGCGCTGGCTAGCGCTCCCCAGCCCCCAACAAGCCACCAAGCGCGCCGTTTGGCTGTCCAAGACCCCACTTCGGCCTCACCCGGCCCTCAAGCGCGCCGTTTGGCTGCTGAAGACCTGGCGATTGTTGTTTCGGCACCCGGTAGGGCGGCAGGCATGCTGCCCGACCCGGTCGTGCCCGGGGAAGCGCTCGCAGCCGCCACGGCTCGCGCTCTGGGTGTTGCCCATGGCCCCAGCGACCTCGAGGGCGTCCTCTAGCGACGACGAGGACGCCTTGCGACGACCCCGTCGACGCTGCCAGCCCCTCGGAAGTCCTGGCGAGTGTGTTGCCTTCACCCGAAAGGGCAGGTGGCATGCTCAGCGAGCGCGACGAGGGCGCGTCAGCACAGGAGCTCAGCCTTCCAACCCATGCTCGGCCTACTGCTAGCCAGCAAGCCCCTGTGCTGACGGTGTACGCGCACAACGCCGCTGCATTCACTTGCGCGGTGTGTGCGCACACCTGTCGCGACCTCGCCGCGCTCGCAGCTCATCGTCGCACAGCGCACCGTGACACCTGCTTCGTGGACCATTTCCACAGCGGGTGCACGTGCGGCATTGGTTTCAGGTCGCGTGCGGCAGCGACGAAGCATGCCATGACCTGCACGCAGAGCGTCTTCGGCACGGTAGCCGCTGCACGCGACCCCAACACGGTGGTATCACCTCGTGCGCTACCGTCTTTGCCGTGTTCTGACTCGCGCATCGAGGAGGACCCTGCACCTACCGGGCCCCTCTGCGCGGTGGTGCCTGCAGTCGCAGCAGACGCATCAAGCGCCACTGCGGCTACAGGTGCTGCCCCCCTACAGAGCGTCGTGCCAGCCACGATGGCTCCAGGGCACCTGCATGCCCCCCCCGTGCGGTGCCCCCCTGAAGTTCGTGTCGGTGGCAAGCGACGCCGCCTCAACGAGCAAGATGATCCACGGACCGCCGTGGATCTCGACGTGCTCATGGAAGGAATCGACGTGGAACTCTTGGACGAGTTCCCTCACGACGTGCAGATGGACGACGCGGCTGCCCGCCTGACGCGCTGGGGACCCAGCCGTCGCGAGCTGGGCGCCACTGACTCTGCACAGTCGGTGACGGGTGAAGCGACGGTTCCTGCTCCGGCAGTGCGAAGACCACTGACACCTGTCGTGCCTGGCACTCGTGCCACGCGGTGGGGGCCATGTCACCGCGCGATCGGAGTGGCAGCCGTTGCTCACCTTATCACCGGAGAAGATACTACGCCTGCTCCGCCGTGCCCCCGTCGTGTTCAGCCGATGGGAGATCAAGTCATCGCCTCTGCGCCTACCCTACCGAGCCCAGCACCACCCACGTCAACAATTACCTCGGCCACTCTGCCTGCAGTGGAGGTGGAACACCCAGAGCCTCCTGCAGTGGAGCCCTGGACGCTGCGCTTCGATGGTGCCTGCCGCCGGAACCCCGGGCCTGGTGGCGCCGGCGCGGCGTTGTTCGATCCAAGTGGTGCTGTGGTGTGGACGTGCTCCCACTTTCTCCCCTGCAGGAACGAAACCAACAACACTGCTGAGTACACGGCATTGTTGGTGGGGGTTCGTGGGGCACTGCACCACGGTGTTACGCGGCTGGTGATCGAGGGAGATAGCCACCTGGTACTTTCCCAGGTGCGCGGTAGCTTTGGATGCGTGAATCGGAAGCTCCGACGGCTACGCAACCGCGTACGCTCGGAGCTGAGGACGCTGAATTGGTATCGACTGAAGCACATCGACCGCAACGCCAATAGTCATGCTGACCGCCTCGCTAACCGCGCCCTCGACCGCAAGCGCACCAGCACAGAGTGTGGACAACATGCTGCACCTACAAATGCATGCTACGTCCCCAGCGCGCATACGGCGCCCGCCTCGCCTCCCACCCCTCCACACACGGTCTCGGCTGATACAACGATGTCGGCCAATGAGGATATCGTGGATGAGGCGATGGCTGATATCGAGGCTGAGATTGCAGCGCGCGACGGCGGCGAGGCCTTCCCGACGTTGCCTATCGGGCCAGGCTCCGCTCCTGCGAGGCAACCTCGGCTTCGACTGCGCCAGCTGGCCGACGATGAACACGACGCAGCGGCAGCTGCTCTGCAGACGTTTGCAGAGAGCATGGCCAGCAGGATTGCCGACGCTGACAGCTGGGCAACTGGGGAAGGCTATATCGGTGCCATCCCGGACCGGATCCGAGAGTTGCTCCTGCCCTACGCTGCTGTTCCGGCTGCTTCCGCTGGCCCTCGACCTCCTTCCCCAGACCGCCGGCGCCGTCGACCGCCCCGTGTGACGCGCAACCAACGCGAGCACCGCCTGGACGAGGCACTGGACAACCTAGCGGCCATTCAGCGTTCAACACCAGGGGATCGGCGGGCAATGCGGAAGGCGCGACGACGTGCTGGACGGGTTCGTGCTGCGGTGGTCAAGCAGCAGCTACGTCAAGCGTTCGCTCAGGATGAGGCCAAGTGCGTGGAGAAGATCCTGCAGAGTGCGTCAGCGGAGTCAGCGGTGGAGGAGCACCCCGACTCGTGCCCAATCGGGCGCGAGGAACTCCACCGTTACTTCACCGGCACCAGCACGGCTCCTGCGACGTTCGACTACACGTCGGCGTCTGGCCAAGAGTTCCGTGCAGCGCTGGACAGCTTCCAGCCTGCCGATGTGGCCCCTGATGCGTTCACAGGTGAGCTGCAGTTTGATGAGGTGGAAGATCAGCTTTCGCGAGCGACCAAGACATCAAGCCCGGGACACGACGGCATCGGCTACGATGTCTACCGCCGCTTCGCTGAGCAGCTGGTCCCGCTCCTCCACGCCGCGTTCCAGTTTTGTTGGTTGCATCGGCGTGTGCCCGCTCTCTGGAAAGTTGGATTTGTGCGCCTCATCCACAAGAAGGGCGACCCAATGCAGTCGACAAACTGGCGGCCTGTGGCCACCTACCGGCCCACCGAGTGAAGCATATACACTCGAGGCCCCCAGGTCTACCTCGTTCAAGGCAGACATCTACATCCTCACCAAGTCTTCCAAAGAGTGCAACCCGCCAGCCGACGGGTACACAAGGTGAGAGAAGGTCCATACACGGCATCGAGATACCCCCTCCGGCAGTCGGCAGTCCGGCACAGTGAGTGTATTGGGGTCTCATCATACAATTTCTAAAACCCACTACACCACAGACGCATCGCACGGTAGTGCTCGATCGCTAGCTCTGCCACCGAGCTTGGAGATGACTATTCTAACTCGTTGCTACTCTGATTTGAGCATAGCAGCGGTCATCGCATCCAGAGGAGGAGATTTCCGCACGATAATGCGCCTCTGCACATCCTTAAAAAATTGGAAATCTCTAATGTTGAGCGGATCCTTCTCCCGCCAAATGCAACATAAAAGACTTAGTCTATGGATGCTGAAATTATTGCATCTTCTAAACGTCGCTATCGCCAACATCTATAGGACGCGCTCGATCGGGACGGACAAGGCGCTACCGATATTTACAAAGTTGGTCAGCTTACGGCAATGCGCTGGAGCAAAGCTGCATGGGAAGAGCTTCCAGGGTTGACATTCGTAGCCGAGCTGCACAGCTCTTTATCCAGAGGAAGACTTTCAGGTTGCCCATGTCAGTCGCAAACCTTCTACATCCAATCGAGGAAGCGCATGAGGTGGACGTTGAGCTGACAGACAACGAGCTGATAAATTGGTGTTAGGCAACGCAAACAAACAGATTTCGAGGTTTCCGACGATGACGAATAGTCAAGACAGTTTGCCAATTCCAGTGCAGCTGGATGCTGTGAACGTTGTGGAATAAAATGTTCAACGTCGATAACAAAGATCACAGAGCAGCGCTGAGACTCTGGGTGATCTCTTACGCATAATCGCGCACAAAATTGCGCCAAATAGCTCTAGATGGTTTGTAACATGGCATCTAGTTACACGTAAACATTAAGTAATATATTTAATGTAAGGTCTAAAGTATTAATGATTACTTTTGACCTGTCTCTTGGGTGTGATACACAAATTTGATCCACCCTCGTGAATGTGATATCCATTGATGGATTCACATGGGAAGGGATGACGCTAGTTGAAGCTAGGCATCACGACGTCTCAGAAGGACGTCAGTTGCGATCTTAAATCTAGATTTAAGCTCATGCGTCAGGATACGCTTCTAAAGAGTCGCGTATCCGATCTATATATATATATACCATATATAGCCAATCAGTAGTTAAGTATATATTTAGTTATAATTAATTAAATATAGCTCAGTCTTGAATTTACTTAAACAGACACACCACGCACGAGAAGTTGAAAGACTTCTGCGTGACGTCGGTGCTTTAGTGTTAAGAAGTTCGTTGCACTCTCGCTTAAGCGAGAGGCAACTGGTGGTACGACTGCTTAAGCAGTCGACCAACCTCCCAACCACCCTCGCACGCGAAGGTAAGACGGTCTAACCGCTTCCTCGCTTGTGCTGAAGGTGTGTGCTCGTAGTACGAGGCAACTTCGTAAAAGTGCTCGTCTACATGGTTAATTTACGAGAAACATATAGAGTTTGCTAAATGATACTTTACTAGAATTTATCGTGTGTCAGATAACCAGAGGATATTGGTTATGGCCATAGGAACGGCATTGGTAGACCAGAAAGGTATTGATTATGAAAAGATATTGTTTTGGAGGACCATTCAACGTAAAAACAAATATTTTGTTTTTCCGCTGAAATTATAAGAAATAAAAGTCAAAGTAGGTGAGTGACATTTGCTTAAATATCAAATTCTTACACTTGAGTTGAAAAAAGAGTAACAAAAGATAATGTCGCTCGAATCTCCTGGTGTATTGAGCCACTTAACATCGTGGCTCACTAGCTTTGAGCTACAGTCGATGCGTGCTCTGAGTCGCAATTTATACGCTGCAGTTCCACGACACACATGGGAGCTCACTGTGCGCAATATCAGTAGTTCCGAGTCAATGAGTCACTTGTCCACGGTTTTCCCGAACGTGTGGTGTCTGCGAGTCCAAGATGCACTTCTGGACGAGATGCCGACAATAAAGTCGCTTGTACCATGGCTGAACAAATGCTGGAAGTTAAGAAAATTGATGCTAACCAGAGTGACCTACATAAGCGTATTCAATCTGCATCTTCTGGCCGAGGAGCTCACAATGGTCGCTATTCGTGAATGCTATCAGGTACAAGAACCAGCTATTGTTGCACCAAATCTCAAGACATTAGTCATCAAGCATTGCCCTATGACACAGTTTCACTCTGATACGAGCTTGCCACAGCTCAAGACTTTGTCATTATCCTCGCGAAAGTTTACAGCGCTGCAGGCGCAACACTTGATCAAGGTGACGCTCCTTGGATCTCCTGCATTAGAAAGTCTGATCCTTGCTGGCTGCTCACAGCTTGAACAGATGCTGGTGGACTCAACCGACCTCCCATCTCTACACCAACTCGACCTCAGTAGCTGTGCGCAGCTCGTGCGAGTGCACGTGACATCTAAGATGCTCGAGCACCTCGATCTCTCGTGCAATGACAACTTGCAGTACTTGGTGGCAGATCTCGAGCATGTGGTGGACCTCGATCTATCGTTCCTCAAGAGTCTCACATACTTGCGTATCCGATCATCTTCATTACGACGATTGAATCTTCGAGGCTGCAATCATCTGATGCCAAACACCATGAACATCCATTGCCCCAATTTACAGTTTGTAGTTGTGCAGGGCACTTCGATAGTCGTCGAGGACTTGAACAAGACGGAATGCAGTGACAAGATGTTTCTCTTACCAGATACGGCATAGTCGTAATCATCAGTATTACCACCTAGTCATGGATGGTCACTTACAATCATTCCGACACTGATTTAAACCCTAGTACAATTGGGAATCTCCGATATATTTCGCATTCAAATTCAAAGACAAGAGACAAATGGGGAACACCACGAGCTGGTTGGCGCAATCTTTTTGCCCAGAGGAACAGACATTATGGGTTGCAGCCAAGAATGGTGATCTTGAGACATTGCGTGAAAGACTGGCACGTCTGACGCCCGAGACGCGCTTCTACGCCGAGTGGCAAGACCCCGTATACGGCTATTCACCGCTATCGAATGCCTGTCGGCAGGGTCATTTGCATTGTGTAGAGGCACTTGTTGCCTATGGTGTGAATTGCAACGTACGGGACTCGCAGGGAAACACGCCGTTGCATATCGCTACGTCCTGTGGGAAGAGTGAAGTGGTGCGACTGTTATTAGAGTCGTCGGCCGTAGATTATTTTGCCAAGACGACGATAAAAGGACAGACAGTACTGGATATTGCACGACAAAACTACAGGACGCTAGAGGGACGAGGAGTCGAGTCGATTCAATGTGTGGAACATATTGAAAAGGTGAGATAAAATGGTTGGATCGGAGTATGTGTACGAAGATCTGATCCCGCTGCTTTTGTGTGTATGTGACGGTTATAGAAACTTTGTCTCTATTCGGGCTGGCTTTATGAACGGTCTGACAATTTCTTGTCGATTGCGTCGGGTATTTCAAGCTTGGATTCGTGGAAAAAGAGGTGAGTTACAATTGCTTGAATTTTGATGTAATGGTTTTCGTTGTTAGTTTAATTGCTGTCTTTTGTAAAGGTATGCACTGGTGTTGCGGACTGCTGCAAGTGATGTTGTGGAGATTGATTTGTTCCCGATGAAGCCTGGTGAACGACGCCCGCCAGTCCCGAGGTTTTGATACTTTATTGACATATTGAAAGAGTTTGTATCGATACTGTCAATTGACTGGTGTTTGTGGCACTTACCACCTTGTTTTGGATAGTGTGGAGCTTTTGTACAGAACGAGTGATGGGATCCAACAGAACGATGATGTTACTTGGCTTAATCGAAAGGATTATCGACTCTCCTTAAAGGTGTCCAGGAAGCTAGGGTCCAATCGTGCCTCTGCCGTCCAATCAATGGATTTTGCTGCCACAAATCAGGGAGAACTCGCTGCATGGAAGACGTTCCTAACAACCTTGCGGGTAAGATTATAACAAAATTTGTACTACATGGTTTGTTGTGTTGATACTGAACTAGCAAATTGGCGGCAGGTCAATGTGCCAGCGACAACCGCACGTGGAGGTAATAGCTGTCAACGCGCACAATCATCTCAGCCTGGTGCAAGCTGCGCTCAAAGTAATCAGGATGCAGTACTGCAGGAGCAACGCGATCTAGAAAGAGCTCTGCAGTTGTCACTTCAAGAAGCTCGGCAGCACTCCAGAACACATGCGGCGCCATCTGCCCCACCTCCTTCGAATACAATGCTGGAAACGCTGGGCTACTCTGAAACGGTTGTGGGTCCTGATGGTGTGGAGATTGTGCAACTTCTCCGAGACGATGATTCAGCAGTTGCTCATGATGCATCATCTCGACCTCCTGCTTCGACTATACAAGCGAAGACGGGCATCACCGGACTGACCGCGGAAGCTCAACGCTCGAATGAGTGCGTCATCTGCTTTGATGGACCTCAGGAGGCGGTCTGCGTTCCGTGCGGCCACAATGCTGTTTGCATGGATTGCGCGCAGGAGCTTCTTGATACCACTGGGCTTTGCCCTGTATGCCGACAGCAAGTGAGAGAAGCGATTCGCCTGTATCGTGTGTGAAGTTGAAGCGCTGCTGCAAAGATTTGAGGTAACACATAAGTAATATTTTTCACAATTCGCTGCTAGTGTTACTTGCTTCGTTACAATTCGTTCAGATCAAACACGATACAACTTGATAAACTCGCGGATGTGGGCTCGGCATACTGGGCATTCAGCGGCGGAAGTTTGTATTTCTTCCGCACACTTCATACACACAGCATTGTGGCCACAAGGCACACATACAGCAGACTGGGGACCGTTAAAGCATATTACGCACTCGCCAGTGGACGAATACACTGATGTTTCTTCGCCGTGAACCACAGGCAAGGTTTGTTCGGAGGCAAATGACGGTTCTAACTCAGCACAACATTCTTTCGTTTCCGCTGCATTTCCAATTAATTCGCATTCCTCCCGATCATCCCAATCAGGGGCTGAAACCTCCAAATCAGGGGCTGAAACTGGCAGGAATGGTCGTGAAAGCGCTGCGTTGGTTAAGTCAAGTGTGTGAGGTGTGGTTCGTAAAGAATGCCGAATAGCTCTGCAATTGTCTTCTTCCGGAGGAAGAGTGATCAAAGATGCAGCAGGCACCATGGGCCGAGCATTCCAACCGATTCTGTTATCGTGTCTACTAACAGTCGGGTGGCATCGACCAACCAGTCGCTGCTGTTGATAGATAAAGAAGACCTTCCACGCATCAAAACTCGCCTGATCAATTGCAGCAAAATGCACTAGATTCTGAATTGCCGAGCTTGCTCGGTAATGACACTTACTCAATTGATCGCCCCGTAAAAGAAAAGTAAAATCCTTTGGACTGAACCATCTCGGATCGCTAATGGTCTCCATTCCAGCTGCAACGTTGTATAACATCACAGATGTTGGACACACTGGACGCATCCCACTACCGGCTTTCATACGAAAGAATGCTAGCTCAAGAACGGCTGGATCTCCACGCTCCAATACCATGCAAAAGCGCCTCGTCCATGAATTAAGTGACGAAATACCCGACACCAAAGACAGCACATTGTCCGTCTTTTTGTACAGCCAGCCACTGTACAAACAGGTTTTCTGCATCAAGCCACAACAATAAAGATAAACAAATTATATAGTCAGCATAGCAAAGCACAGCTTCAACAAAACAAGACTGCAAACAAGGATAAACTCCAAACTCGAACCTCTTCCAAGACATGAATGCATCTCGCATATAGCCGAGCTTCCATGTTTTCCTCTTCTTCTAAAAACCTGCTTCTCGCCAAGTCTAATGGTGTTTTCATACACAGATTAATCTCAAATGGGTTCACCGCTGGCACCTGCAGTAGAAACTTGACCATCTCCAATTGAGCACGTTTGCAGGCAAGATGCAATGGCGTGTTCATTTTCAAATCTTTTGCATTGCAATTGGCTCCTGCTTCGATTAAAAGTCGAGCACAATTGCAATGACCTTTAGCTGCCGCTTCCAAAAGTGGTGTTCGACCTGTGTACGGCTCCTGCCATTCGAGATATTTGCGTGTTTCGGGTGTCATACGTAATGCTGCCAATTGAATCATATTCGTATCATTGTAACGTGCTGCGAACCAGAATACTTGGTCTTCCGGGTAGAAGTATTGTGCCAACCAACTCATTACGTTCCCCATGCTTATCTGCTATATCAATAGCTAATTACTGACTATTCACTGAGACAAAAAACGCAATACCGGAATGATGGTTTACTCATATGTTTTGTATAGGGCTCGTCTTTGTATCCATGCAGAAGCAATAGCTAGAGGTGGTACCCAGACTCAGACTTAGTGGGTAATTACCCATACCCAGACTCATGGGTTGGGTATGGGTAATTGGCTTTAATTAACCACCTTACCCATGGGTACCCATGGGTAAATGTACCAAATTTATAAGGCATACATCAGACACACCTGCTCGTATTATTTATATAATTGTTAAATGTATTGGTGACTCATTACGCCTTTTTGGTGAAAGTCTACCGCACATATGATGCAAAGCAACTGGAGCCGGTGGCGCAGGCCATGCTAAGCAAACTCAAGAAATATATATCAAGCTGGCGTTTAAACAGGATGCAAACTTCTTTGCAACGGTGTTAGATCCAAGATGGAATATCAGCTGGTTCAAAAACCTCGACGAAGGGCCAAAGCAATTTTGGGCTCTTGGCCATAGCCCACAAGCATATTGAGTTGCTTTTTGTGGATGCAGCATACAGTCATCAGAAGTCATTAGAAAAAAACCGCCTCCGCCACCTGTCAACATTAGTAACGCATGAGCGATGACGACATGTAGCCAGACGTCTTCGCATTTGTTGAAGGCAGAGTTCTAAGACCGCAGTGAGCAAAGTCGAGGAAAATAGCTCAAAATTATTTTGCTCTTTTGCCTGTTCACATACACTAATTGCCATTGGAGTGGTGAGCACTGCATCAGCTGCAATTCCCGACACTTGCAAGGATGGCAAGATTTTATCTGGCCCGCGTCTTCAACTCCGTTTGAGAGAGGTTTCTCTCAAGATAAAAAGACTTACAGGTAGAACAGAACTTCGCTTTCCCCTCAAAAGCTTGGAGAGGCTTCTGTACTTCAAGGATTGGATAAGGACACAGGGTCACGTTATTTTGTCGGCAAGGGACTAGTTTTTTCCTTTGTCAGCTCGCTTGAACTTCCCAGTGGGAGACGTAGAGTGTGGATACTTTTATTACCAATTTCCATAATGCTTTTTCTCCCTTCCATATTATTTAATAGTCCGCATGTTTATTGCGCGGGTAACATGGGTAATTACCCGCGGGTATGAGTCCAAGTCGTGGGTAATGAAATTTGAATGAGTCTGAGTCGTGGGTAAACGCAATTACCCAACCCAGACTCATGGGTACCACCTCTAGCAATAGCATTAAAAATGGAAAAAAAGAATAAACGGTAATATCACACACAAGAGGTATTATCAAAACGTCTTATTTATGCTCTAAAAAATGCGTATCATGCAGTAGTTACGTTAGTCCACGAATTAGGCTCATATAGACCAATCATAACACCGTCCGGTGATCGCAAAGCCGCTACCTACAAGCAACCACCCCCAAAAAGACCCAATTCATCAGTAAAAGACCCATTCTGTAGCTGCTGATGCGTCGTTCACCTTCCCGTGTGCCGGGTACTTGATGGGGCCGTCCATGATCGCTCCCAGCATCAGTAGCCGCGGCACAGCATCACTGAGATCCACGATATCAAAGTTTAAAAATGGCGAGTATCCGCTGCAACAAGCAGCTTCACTAGATCCAATTGTAACATTCCAGTTAACGCAATTTTTCGTTTTCCAAATATCGCAATAGCAAACTAACCTTTGCGCCAACTTGACGCATAACGGCACACTCGCCTGTATATCAAACTCTGCAAATGTTTCCGATGAGCGAAGCAGCTTAAGCCCCAGTCCTTCTTGATAGAACTGCTTAGAGCGCGCCAAATCGCGGCTTAGCACCATCAGCTGCCGTAAGCGAGTCATCATATTACCAGCTATATTAGAACGTAAAATGTAACTAGATAATGAATATTGACCAATCAACGGATATGCACAATCTAATTGGCTGATAACAATTTACTTCAATGAGCTCATTCATTATCCAATCAATCATCATCTTTCATGCTCGGGACGGGGTTCAAGATGGCCGTAATGGCAGCGGCGATGGCGTGTTACGTGCATCCGCAGCTGCTTCTCCAGCCTTTCATTGGGTCGGAGCTCGATGCTTCAGATGCCAACGCGTTAGTGCGCGTGTTGCGTGGTCTCCTGACGCTGCTAAGCTACGGCTTGGCTAGCTTCCGACCTTCCTGGTTTTACGTACTGGTGACCGTAGCAGCGCTGCAGCTCACGCTATGGAGTCTGCAACTAGCTGACAACTCGATACTAGGGGTGAGTGTGGAGAAGGAGGAGAAGCTGTTTCTAATGGGTGCTGTGGCGTGTTTTGGAGCCATAATGAGTATTCTTTTATTTGGAGGCAAAGGCGACGACAGAGCTCGATTTCGGTAGGATTTAAAATTGTGGGCTAAACGAAGGTGGATAAAGAATGCTGTGCTGATTTTTGATGCTGTGATATGGTGTAGAAAGCGACTGGTGGCATTTTACGCGAAGCACAATCCCGAGAAGTTGCAGCAAGTGAACGAACTAGTTGAGAAATACGAACTTAATGAAGAGCTGTTGTTCCAACGACTGCATCGGAAATACAATGCACTAGCTGCTGGAGCAGACAGTCACTCGGTGATGAAAAAGATTGATGAAAATGAGTTTTTGTATGAAGAAGAAGAAGAAGAAAGAGTAGAGTCAGATGAGGACATTATGGCTATACCAAACGAGGCTGTGGTGTATCCTTTGGAGAAGGAGATACAACAGCGTTTCAGCAGTAGTGGAAGTGATGAAGACTTTGAGGTTGTTGACAGAAAGAATGGAGCTGTCGTGCGTCAACTGGAAGCTGAAGACTATGACAGGCTTGACGGCACTCCTCCCGCATCGCCTCGCACAGCTGAAAAATTAGCACACAAGCACCGCCAGTCGTCCACACTAATCAAGAAAGCGATCGCAGTAGCACGTCAGGATCAACAAAAACGTATCGAACGTCGCATTGCTAACATTGCGTCGAAGAGTCGAGATGGCTACGCTGGGCATTAGTTGAGCGACGCTGATGGAAACCACACACAGTAGTCGAAACGCATTTTTGGGAGGATGGTAAGGATACAAGGAGAGGAGAAAAGAGCATAAGTGTAACTGCAGCGATTTTATCTTTGGCGTGACTAGATAATCTTAGTTTTGCCTGATCATTGAGTCTATCGAAGAGTGTACCTCGTCTAGAATGGACACGTAGCTACCTGTTTATCTTAGGAAATTGTGCAGTATACAAGTATAGTAACTACGGCAATACCCCATTGAGGGTAATAACCGCTGGTCGTACACTTACACTGTTCAAAAAAACCTGGTCCATTGCGATCACTCACCACTGTTGAAAGGCCATTTCAAGCGATTCGAGCCCACTTACAATCGTAAACGTGTAGAATCAATTGCACAAAATACGAGAATCGTCAAAAGGTTCGTCTCTTCGCAATGAAGCGCATATTCATCTGAGCTCTTCGCTTTCGAGCAAAACGACTACAAGAATGCATTTAGGCAATGTAGTTTTCAGTCACTGAGTTTATTTTATACAGAGTATTACACGTCTACGACAGCATCTTCTCGATCGTGAGGAAGTCGGGAAGGCAACTTTTCCTTAAATATCTGATCAAGGGTCAAGTCCAATGTGAAAGCGTTAAAGGCTCCTGGGGTTTGGCTGCTGGTATCGGTCTCTGTCTCCCAATGCGCTTTCCAATCTTTGGCCATCACCGTCCATTCATTCTTACTCCATATTCTATTGAATATGTCGTCGGCTTCACCCCCTTTCGCTCGTCCACCTGTACTAAAACTCGAAGGGAACGGCGAAGGTGATGTATCGGTTACTGATATCGTCTCTGACATATCACCGCTAGTGGCAATATTTGTCATATGATCCTTCGGTCTGTTGCTTTGAATGAATCCGAGTATATCCTTAGACGGTCGCATTGCCGTTCGAGCGAATAACTTCAATCGCAGTAGCGGCAGCAGAATTTGCTGCGGACACGTCGTCGAAGATGCAGAAGGGATAAAGCATTTTCCAGGAATCACATCACTTAGAGGTGGCGTACTAGTCATAAAGCTAAACAGCCGAGACCCAAACATGTGCATCAATGGATTCGAGTCGGACACCAGCATGTAGAAAAGCTTGGGGTTATCAAAGTCACACATGGACTCGGAGTTAAACGGATACTTACGTTCTTTAAATGCCAAGATGTCCTCCATAAACTGTGCAATAGCTTCATCACTCAATGCCAGCAAACGCGAAGGATTCCGAGTTAACGATGCAGCACAAACCCATTCCCGAAAATATTGCTTCGCATACTTTCCAATCGAAAGCCATTGAAGCGATGGCTGGTAACGCGCAAGAAATGGGTGCTGAAGATTGTAGTTAAATGTATATCCCAAAACCATGAGTTGTTGATCATACAACTTCCACATATCATTTACTTTCTGCAACAAAAAGCGCACTTGCTCAACAGATCGCCCTCCACCAGCAGTGTCTTCTCGGTCAGCTAAGATAACCCCATATTGCTGCTGCATTCTCCCAAATTGGTAGAAAATGTCGGACAACGAAAACGATGCCGTGAAAGTACTGCTCATCATTTTGTATGTCTCCTTCAGCGGTGCCATTAGCTCGCTCAATGCCATTACGTTTCCCCAAAATTCAGAATTTTGGACTGTCTGTATTACACAGTTTGAAAGGCCACACTCCACCAGCTCATCAACAGTATTACCCGCGCTATCTTTGCGTGGATTATCGGTTATTGATCTGTGCAGCGATCGGCCTGACGAATCTATAGAGTCTGACGAAGCTCTAACAACCTTAGACGCAATGATTTTCATCATATCTTCATACTGCCGTACGGAATCGACAGCTTCAATAAATGAATACCAGTTCAGCCGTGTCGGTGCATGCAACATCGCATCTGGATCCTCACATTCACGCCGCAACATCTTTAGCACACGAGGGTTTGAAAAGCTTCGTATAATTTCGATCACTTCACCAACCGTTTCCACTGATTTGTCCGACTCAGTCATGACGACTCCAAGTAGCACCTGGAGCAAATGTGAAAAGCATGGCAGCACTGGTATCGATAAACTTGTCCACTCGCTCGAATTGACAGCAAGTCGAGAGGCTGCGTATGCCAGAGCAGTGTCGGCAACAATGTTAATCACGTGAATACCTTTTCTTCGTAAACCAGTCAAGCTGCTCTTAATTCGTTCCGCAAAAGCTTCCAGTGTGTTGTCCTCGATTCCAATGTCAAACAACTCCCAAGTCGTCGCTTCACCAAGAGAATTTACGAGAGAAATCAGAACAAAACTAGATCGAGGGTACTTGGAGACCCACCAATTTACAGCCAGCGTAATTCCAACTTGCTCATCTTTCATCTTCAAAATCTGTTTTTCATGAGAAACGGCTCCCATTGACTCAAGCAACTCGGTACTTGGTAGCGCAATCGTTGAATGCACGTTTCCAAAGAGCAAAGCTGATTGTTCCGTCCACACCCAATCCCAAGGCAGACCCGTTGACAGCGTAGCTGACATTACCAATCGAGTCAAAGCATCTGAATCGTTAGCATTGTTTACAGATTGCGTCGCACGAAGTACAGTTGGTCTGTATAATTTTGGGGCACACGGTTCGCCGTGCTTCTTAGTAGTATCACAGGATCCAGGCTTGTCCAACACATCTGATTTCTTGGACGGGGAGAGGTTTTGCTCATAGTCTAGCAGCTTAGATGACGAGACGCTGCTAGAAAGTCCTGAATTCATCTCAGAAGACAATGACGAAAGTTGAAGTGGCATGAAATCTTCCACGCCAGACGCGTCCTGTGCATTGTTGGCCTTGATCTCAGCACCTATTCTCGGTACAATGGCGCCATCTCCTTGGTCTCCACATCGTCGTAATTTTTTCTTTGGAGCTGGAGACGTCTCCTGCATTAACATATCGACGCTACGATTATGTGACTGGTGTCTCTTATTGAAATTTGCTGCATCTTTTTGTGCACAGAGAAGCTTCAACTGGGTCACTACCTCAGTAGGACAGTAAATACATTTTTGCAAGTGCCGGATCATGTTCCCTGACACACCTCTCACCACAACAGGATCCACGCCATTCTCACTACAAAGTCTGCAGTAAGCATTATGATGAAAACGATTCCGCTTCTCACCTCGGATAAAGTATTGCCATGCTGGATGACTTGGTCTCCCCATTTTCTTCTCATCTCCATCCAATCTCTTGCCCACAAGGTGTTGTGTACTTCCCACGTCCTGGTCAAACATCTCGTCGGTTGTAGAGGGATCTCCAGCCCCTGTACTGCTCTCTCTTGTAGGGATCAATGGTGCTCCCCCCGTATAGCTCGACAGATCAAAAAGCGCTGCACTTGTAGACATGTCCACGTGCTCTGTAGTCGAGACTTTCCCTGAACTGGTGTCGCCTATCCCCTCTGCTTCCATCCACACGTATGTCGAGTCTGTCGGGTATCATACATCATTGCAAATTCGATTAGTGCGCACTCAATGCGGACAAGGAGTGATTGTCACTTCAACAACCAGGTGCCTACCCGTAAATACCTTCCGAATGAGCTCGTAAAAACGAAATAAGCGTGTTTGTGGTACAACACGATATGGTACAGTGTACCAAACTGATGTTTTGTACATTAGTACCAAATGGCACGAGATGGCAACGTCGTGCGGGTGTCAGCGCCTGGAAAGTTGCTCCTGTTTGGTGAACACGCTGTAGTTTATGGTGTACCCGTGGTAGCGGCAGCATTGTCAGATCTACGTATTGAAGCAGAGATTGTGAGTATGCCTTTAACTTGTCGTGTCGACCTTGAAGATACCTCGGCTAACGTTTATTTGCTGCCTTGCAGACTCGCATTCACGTGCCTGGAGCTGTTACGCCGACTATCGAGTTTTTATGCAACGACATTACGTCTACACGTGATAAACAACCACTGCGACGGGCGTATACGACTTTTGAGCTACAGAAAGTGGTAAATGGACTTGAGGATGAGGTTTATTATGTGCCATTTCCGGCGCAAGAAGTGATGATGCGCATTGAAAACGTGCTCAAGAACGAAACATCTGTAGATGCTATGGCACTACGAGCTCCAATCTTCTTGTGCTGTGCTCTGCTACGTTCGTCTGGTTTTCTGAGCGGGTAACCTTGTCCTACGTACATTTCTTTTAACGTGAACGGATTCTTAAACAGTTCCCTCTTGGTTTTCGCTGATAATGAAATGGCAGTACTAAAGGAGGACTCCTTGTGAAAGTTGCAACGTGCAACTTGCCTATTGGTGCAGGACTGGGCTCCTCGGCTGCGATGTCTGTGGCTCTTTCGGGAGCATTTGCTGAACTGTCTGGCAGCCCTCGTAACCTCGAGCTAGAATTCATCAATGCGTACGCTTTTGGTGCGGAAGTAATTTTGCATGGATCGCCTTCGGGTGCAGACAACACAGTGTCATGCTTTGGTGGTACTTTGCTCTTCCAGAAACATTTGGGTCCCTCTTTCCGTCGCATTCAGTGCCAGCTGAACAAGTTCCGATTTCTCATAGTCAATACGTGCGTCCCTCGTTCTACAAGGGAACAAGTTGGAAATGTCAGGAAGCGCTACGAAGCTGATCGTGAAAATGTCCAGAAGCAATTCGACACTATTCAGCAGATTGTGGAGAAATTCGTTGCGCTCAGTGAGCAAAAGGTGCTGTGCGAGGAAGTCCTTGGTCAAGCAATTGAACACAACCAGAAAATATTGAACGATCTTGGAGTAGGCCATCAACAAATTGACGAGGTGGTCCGTATCTGTAAGCAATTTCATGGAGCTACAAAGTTGACTGGTGCAGGTGGTGGTGGCTGCACGATCTCTCTCTTGCCGCGGAGTCTGACCAACGAAGATTTGGCCAAGCTTGTTATGCAGTTGGAAGCGAAGGGGTTTGAGTGCTTTGAGAGTGCAATCGGGGGCCCAGGCTTGATACGTGCTTAGCATTCATTATCCAGATGAAACCCGATTGCAAGGAATTAAACGTTCGAAGCCGATCAAACTAGATCAGTTTTACTATGAATATAGAATTATATCTCTTGCACACGACGACTGCCACAATCGTGAATATCTAATTGTCCTCTACGCGGTCTGGGCTGCTGCCGATCCTACTGACACTCCGTCTGCTACAGGAACCGCTTTTGTCGAGGCAGCAGTTGACGCCGGTGAGCTCTTTGTGGAAGATGTGGAATCGCGGATACTTGCAGCACTGGAAGCACGGCGCTTTTTCTCCATCTTATTTGCAGCCTTCACCTCACGTACGCCACTTGCAACGTTCGTCGCAGCACCAGCAAAGCCACCAACCACATATCCACCGGCCGCGACACCGCTTGCGAGCAGCACACCACCTCCTGTCACGATTGCCTGCAGAAAGCACCATAAACGACGTGTTAGTTTAGTTCAATCAATACCTCTTGTGCAAGAAATATAAAGCAACACAAGCAAACATACCGCCACAGGAGCCGCAACAGCACCAATCGTCGCTTTCTTCAACCCTCCCATAAACGAGGGAGTAGGCTTCTGGTTGGCGACCTTGATCACTACTTTTTGGTCGCCCTCAGATTTACTATCAGCAGGTCCGTCCTCCATCATAGCAACAGGAATTTCAGATTCACTGTCACTAGCCTGTCTGCTTCCCTTACGCCTACGAGCTGCATAAACTCCAGCTTCACCCATTTCTTTAATACCCGAAGCCATATTAACGACCATAGCACCAGTTCCTGCCACAATCGCAGCAGATCCCATGATCACACCGCCCATAATAGACTTGCCACCGTAAAGAAAACCCTTAGCAGGTGCATAGACTACTCCACCGGCTGCACGTTTAAATCCCTTCGAGCGGTCGGGGGCGTATGGGTCCATTGCTTCGCCATAACGAAAGAAAGTTTCAAAAATTTCCATAGCACGTTCCTTCGTCATCGGCTGTGCACCATCCTCCAGTCCTTCTTTGCCATAAATATCATCTGTAAAAGTAAAAAAAACATAGAATTATAAGCAACAAGTCAGTACGGCTATCGTCCTGAGCAAACAAAAATGGTCAAACTATTCGTACAAATTTTGCGCGTGTCGTCATTGGACAGCACGTTATAAGCCTCGCCCACAATTTTAAAGTTGGCTTCAGCTGTGAGTTTATCCGATGGATTTTTGTCTGGATGATATTTAATAGCCAATTTACGGTAACTGCAGTACAAAACACATCAAGACAAATGTATCAGTCACTCGTAAAGTCCACAAAGTTATTTAGTTCGCAAGTATATTGCATACGACAAAAAAATCGTACGCTGTCTTGACTTCCTTTGCTGTTGCTGTCCGTGACACACCCAAGTTTTCATAATAATCATTCGAGGAAAGGTCACTCATCACACCAGCAGAAGGTAAGAAGAAGAAAAAGATGAAATGAATGTGACTTGACGGAAGAGAGGTTGGAATCAGATATTACTTGATTGGTGGATATTAAACAGGATTTTCTGCAGATTTGAAAGAGCGATATTTTATGATAAAAGAGCGTGTATACCGCAAAAAGTGCACAATAAACTGTAAAAGACAGATTTGTGCTCCTCTATAATGTCACATGCGATACAACTACAAGACATCTGCATTTTCCAAGAATGCTGCCCACGCGGGGACCAAGGTCAATTGCGAATGTTGTCGCTAGACACCAGATAACACAATATAATACAATTTGAAAAAAGAAAATGCTGCTACTTTTCAACTATGTACCTGTTCGTTCACAAATGTCATGTTATACCCGCATGAGGCCACCACTTGCACGATCATTCTCACTCTCGGTTCGCACTTTCATGGTTTCAAAAGTCTCGTTATCGTCCTTCTCCTTCATATATCGAGTGGTCTTTCTACCAAACCGCGTAAAGTATGTTCCTTCCACCAAAGCCACAAACTCGGGCCATAGTTTTAGATGGCTCAGCATAATTTTGGCTGCAGCAGTAAGTGGCACTGACAACATCATGCCCACGACTCCCCAAAGAAGTCCCCACGCCGAAAGCGACATGATTACAATAACAGGATCTATCTCGAGTCTTCGGCCAAATACCCTCGGTTCCACAAAGCTACCCACAAACATGTGAAAGCACATCGGAAGAAACATGGCCAGAAACTTTTCCATCGGATTCATCAAGTCGGACGGCGTGATGGCAATGATACAAATTGGTGCAACAGATGCAATCATGGCTCCAACGTTGGGGATCCAGTTTAAAATGAACGTCAGAATACCCCACACAATGGCCAGCCCTACATTCAGCCAAACGTAGACAATCGTAACCAGCAAAGACACGAAAAGTGAAAGAAAACACTTTAATGTCACGAATCGTTGAATGTCGTGGTCAATCTTGGACCAAACGCCTCCAGCATCACTAGCACGTGTTCGTGTGCAAAGAAAGTATGTGAGGTAGATAAGCGTCACAAACATGACGGAGAGCAAATCCATCGTTTCCGTGACTAAAACTCGCGCTACTTTGTCAACATTGTCGTGCAGCGTCGTTGTAATGTTCAGCGATAGTCCTATTTGTTCAAAAATGTTCTCGATTCCCGAAACAAGATTATTGTATCCCGTCTGATAAGAACCACCATCCAGTGCATGGAACGAAACCACAGTAATGTAGCCCAGCAGTCCAAAGAATACACACACCAAGCTGACAGCCATTAGCGAAGCCAATGCACGTGAACAGCTTTGTGACATTCGTCGAGCATGACGTCCACGTGATGTACAAATGCAGAGGAAATACCTCGGTGAAACATCAATCATTTCCACCAACGGATCCAAAAGGTACCTAGAGACGAAAGAACAAAACACACGAAAACAATATTAACACAACAATTGCAACCATTATTTTTTTAAAAGCACGTGCAGTTAGCAACAATAGGACGTACATGAGAAAAATAGCAAGAAAAAATGGAATCAGCACCGTTTGGAACCATGATAGTAAATAGCACGATGCTGCTACGCTAGAATCAGAAAACATGTTCGATAAAAGGTAAGAAATTATCGTGTACGAACACGTTAACACCATCCAATTAATTTCAGTATTGTACTCACCCCGTTGCTAATAATGCACCTTTTGTCTCAAATGCCAGTTGTCGTACTGGTCCATCTAGTGCCGCTAAAATATCGTTAGCCACATCATTATAGGAGGGCCGCATAATGTCGTCACTGCTAAAATTGGTACTACGCTCTGCGCTGAAGGAGATGGTGGAGGCAGCAGAAGGGGACAATGACACGCTTGAAAGACCAGTGGATGTTGTTTGGGGCGACTCCATGTCCACTGACGCATAAACTTGCTCTTTTTTGCTTACAAGCTTCATGTCACGAATTCTTCTGATTCCGATTTTATTGTACGCAGATGGAATGGCTGTGCGGACAATTGATAGCCGTTATGAGTGATGGTCTCTCGACGTTTTGAAATTAATTATTGCATCACGCCCGGTCTAGGGCAATAATTATGGATGTAAATTGATGAGATATTCAGGTGGTCCACCTGATTTATAAACTTGCGGTCTCTAGAACGTCGTAAAATACCTGGAAAAGCGTCATAAAAAGATGTCGGCGCTCTCTCCTGTGGCCAAAGCAGCTTTGCGCCACCCCGTAGGACGTGTACGTGGTGACGGTATCACCGCCACAGTATTCGGAGCTACGGGTTTTCTTGGTCGTTACGTCTGCTCGCACTTGGGTACGTTTAATCTCCATATTTAATCCACCTGGATTTTATCTACCCGGATATTATCCATACCTCTAGAACTTAATGATTCTATTCACTTATTACATGATGCTCAGGTATTCATGGAAATGGATACGTCGTTCCCTACCGTGGAGATGAATCAGAAGTATCCCATCTTCGTGTATCCGCAGACTTGGGTAACGTTGCCCAACAACCCTTTCATCCACGTGACCGTGCTTCGATCGTAGAGGCCGTAGCTGGTTCTGATATTGTCATTAATCTCATTGGTAAACATTATCAGACCAAGCACCTATTGCCATGGTGGATCAATTATACGTACGATGATGTGCATGTGGATATTGCCCGTACTATTGCTGAGGTGGCAAAGGAAGCAGGTGTGCCTCGCATGGTGCACGTGTCATCTTTGCTAGCTCAGCCCAACTCCCCATCTCTGTGGGCTGCTTCGAAATTTCGTGGTGAGGTCGCTGTTCGCAAAGCATTTCCGGAAGCTAATATTGTACGACCATCCAATATGTTTGGTCCGGAAGACCGGCTATTGGTCTGGATTGGTAATCGCCTTAATTATGGTGGTGTGCCTGTTGTGGACAATGGTGATGCTGTGATCCAACCCGTGTTTGTCAATGACGTGGCTAAAGCGATCTACCATATCACGCAGGACGATACGATTCAGGGCAAGACTTTTGAGCTCGTTGGTGACGAGGAGTTCACGTACAAGGAATTGGCTGACTACGTGTTTGACGTGACGAAACGTAATTCAAGATTGATCAATCTGCCACTTCCCGTGGCTCAGGCCATCGGCTACTTCTGTGAGCAGTTCCCGGACCCGAAATTCACACGTGATTGGGCTACGCGTCTTAGCATGAATGAGGTCAAGACGTCAGTTTTGCCTGGTCTGCGGGAGTTGGACATTGAGCCGACCAAGTTGGAAAAGGAAGCACCCAATTTCCTTCTTAAGTTCAACGCTGGTGGCCATTTCCAGGAGGTGTCTGGCTACCATTAAAGCTATTACCTATGGAAGGGAGTAAGAAGACACAAAGGAACGCCTAGGCTAGTATTACCATAGCTGCTGCTACTTTTGACGTGGTTTGACAGAACAATAACAAAAATGAGAGGCTACGTAACATGTGGTATACTTTTCGTCTCGATTATGTGATACGCATTCGTTCCTAGCCAATGAAATAAAGTATCAATTGGATCACCATCACGTGGTACGAAATATGATTATTTCGGCTGGAAGAGCGTTCGTACCGAGATTTCGATTAAGGTCTCAACAGTTTCAAGGTTTTGTGGATGTACCAATTGGGCAAAGAACGTATGGAATTACTGGCTTTTCACGTATTGGAACCAACCCAAAAGTGGCAAGGACTCGCTCAACGTTTCAAATTACCAGCCCTCGATCCTTTACCACTAGTAGTGACGAGATGCCACTGCATTTTGATACACATCATGTTGTGAAAAGTTTACAGGATAAAGGTATGCATTGGAATGGAATTTTTTTTCATATTGTAATGCTGACATTCGTGATGTCTCTTGCTGTAGGTTTTACCGTTGATCAGTCAGAAGCTGTTCTGTATGTAATGAAAGATGCTATGGCAGACTCGTTACAAGCTCAATCACGAATTGTAAGATGTCGTCAAGATGTCGTCAAGATTCGTCTTGTAATACTGGATACGTACTGATGTAGTTCTCTACTGTTATTTTTCTTCTATCTAGTTGGCTACAAAGTCCGAGCATGTGGAACTTAAAGCAGAACTGTCTGAACGAGTTTTCAACTCGACTCTCAAGTTTGGTGCGTTCCTAACTTTTCCTGATGATTGTCTTGGTATAATGCCGTTTTACATCTTGATTTGACTTGTGTTTTTTCTTTTCTTTTGCTACAGATATTGCACAACGTCACTCACGAGAATTGCTGGAGCGTGATTTCAATACGCTGAAGCAGGATATTCGAGTGCTGGAAAAGATCGACTTTGACAAAATTCGCATGGAAATTGCAGAGCTTGAGAAAAAGTTTTTGCTACAGAAGCAAGCTGAGGATGAGACGTTGAATGAACTGCGACTGTCGATGGAAAAGGTGGAAAAGCGAATGCTCCAGTATGCGGTGGGTTTTGCAGGTACCATCATGGCCGTGGGTGCTGCCCTCACGCGTTTAGTCCTATGACCCTCCAGATAAGAACACAATTTTCTTGCAGTCGTGTGGTATTTTACATGCTGATTCATTAGCGTCGATGTAGAGCTACGAAAACTCGGAGCTGCGCGGTTTCGTCTTTTCGCTTACGCGCGAGGTTGACTTCGCGAGCTTCGAAGCGCTGCCAAGGATATTGCCCAACACGTTTGTGCTCCTTTCGACAGGATTCCTGGCAGCGATGCCATGATTTCTGGTGGTGCTCAACTCATCCGTCGTGGCCTTAAAATTGCGTCTACGTGACGAAGCACGATTACGATGGTCGGGGTAAGCGGACGCTTGTGGCGGTCGTTCACCTCTCATCCGTGGGGCTATCGGAAGCGCACGATCTGTCGTTGAAGCAGGAATAGGCTCATTGACTTGGCAAACTTCCTTTTCGGAAACTGACTGCAAAGAAGCGGATGAAGATCCAGACGTACTTCTCGATGACGCAATTGCGTGCGTTTGACTATCGCAGTCGCGACGATTACCCTGACGGTATCGGTTGTCCTGTGAGTTCATGCTGTTGCTTGTGCTGTCACCTTGCTCCCTATCAAATGAACATTTATAGCCGCGAGAACTGTCAGTCTCTTCATGTTGCGATTCCCTTTTCGAAGAACCTGTATCCCTTCTCGAAGAACCTGTATCCTTTCTCGAAGAACTTTCATCCCTTCTCCAGTCATTAGCTCTTTCGTGGGTGCGGTTCCCACTACGCTGGCGCACATCGGCTGTCGATGAGTTGTTCCGGTCACGAAAGCTCCGAATCTCATATTGACCTCGCAAGTCCGCTTCTGAAGGCGGTGTTGTCACAGATGTGCGGGGCTTCTTCAAATTTGCTGCATCCAAAGCCTCCTTCGCAGACCTTTTGTGGCTGTCGACAGGTTGATTCACTGAAAGCTCAAGTCCTGATTCTCTTTTGACGGAGGCCGAAGATGGTTTGTCACTGCTGGATGCCTTGTCATCGCTCGCCTCTTCACTCTTGTCTTCATGCGCACAACGCGCTTCAACATTACGTTTCATTGTGTCATTTGCCTTCACGTCCTTAGCTTCTTCTACCGAGATAAGCTCTGGTTTTATAACCACAGCAGGTACATTCACAGTAGGTTTCACAATGGAGGTAGACTTTTGAGCCGCTTTCTCGTGCATCAACTTGTAGTGTTCAGCCAACTCGCGGCATTTGTCCCCTGCTAGTCTCTTCGCCACATCAGGAAATCCTTTTCCTTCTGTCCGAATAATTAGCTTTCGATCACGAGCGCTCTTGATTAACGCAGCCCACGTTTCATCGCGCACTAGTGTACTGACATTACCAATAACGTAGAGGCAAAACCGTGCACGGGTAATTGCCACGTTTAGGCGGCGAATATCGCGCAAGAAACCAATACCTCCGTGTCGAGACGAGCGAACGCAAGAAAACACGATCACGTCTTTTTCTCGGCCCTGAAACCCATCCACCGTGTTTACTTCGACTGATACGCTTGCTGGGATTCCTGAACGTGTGATTTCTTGCCGAAGAACGCGTACTTGTTCTTTGTACGGTGATACAAATCCAACACTCCATTTGTTGTTGCGTACCTCTGCACAAGTCTCAAACATGTTTTGGCACAAACTAACACAAAATGTTGCCTCAACGCGATTGTACTTTGACCCGTTCATATCTTCCTCCCTCGAGTTGTCAACATCATACAACATAAAAGGTTGAAAACTCGTATGCGCATATATGCCAGAGCAGATCTTTTGAACACGTTCCATAACGCTGGGTCCATCTGTCAGCATTCCTCCGTAAAATCTCTTGGACGGGAAGTCCCGCAAAAATGGATGCATTCGATATTGCACTCGAAGCATTGACGGTGCGACACCACTTTCAGCTATACGTTCGAATAGTGATCGATCGTACCGTGCTTTTGCCGCGACAACGCTTTTTACTGTAGCTGGAAGCTGTTTAGGGTCACCAACCAGCACAACACGAGCTACTCGCTCCCGGATCGGAATAAGCGTACTTAGCTCCACTGCTTGGGCCGCTTCATCGATGATGAGGGCGTCAAAGCCATGCTTCAATCCCGAAAAGTCACCACTTCCTGCCTTTGACAAGGTGCAAGCAATAATGCTTGCCTCGGACAAGATAGTTTCTGTCATTTTGGCCCGAAATGCCGTCACTTCATCTCGCAGACGTCTGATTCGACCCGAGCATCCTGTCAGTTGTTGATGCATCTTGGCGAGCGCCTTTCGATCTCGCTTGGGTCCAGCCGCGTCTTCTATCTTATTGTGAAAATCACGAATAGAGCCGCGCAATTGTCGCTGTGTTTCTTGGAGTGAGTGCAATTCCATTGCTTTCGGGTGAATTGCCATTTCACGCCGGATGATATGCGGCAAGCAAACAGAGTTAACAATCTCAGGTGCATCCTCGCCTGCATTTCCGAGGCGGACAATGGATATCCATTCCTTCAAGAGTGTTTCAGGATGAACACTCGGCGCTCGGACTTTAGCGACGTTCCCAGAACTATCCATTAGTCCGTTCGTAACGATTCGTAGCACCAACTCATTTACAGCACCGTTGGATGGCGCGCAAAGCAGGATGTTATTTGTTCGACTTGCTGAACGCTCCAACGCTGCTTTTGATATAACACGGCGCTTTACTACCAGTTTTGAGTTGGGTTGGTGGCTCGTGCGAGATGATAACTTCTTTTCTAATCGACTGCGCGACATACCAACATTCTTCAGCGATTGAATGGTCGTTTGACTTGGTCCAGCTGCTACGGCGGAGTCAGACGTACGACGAAGAATACTCCCGAGGGCAGATGTGACCCCACTCAATGAAAATGTCGACGCTGGAGCTTGCATTGATGGTTGTTCGACGGATCGCCCAGTATTCGTTCCGCGACATCGTGCAGTCTCAAAGTTATTGAAGTCTCCTTTGGTGCCGTTGCCTGGAGCGCTTGAACCACTTTTCGGGTTTATTATTGGCATGACGGCATTTGCTGGTAACCGCAATGATAACAATCCACTCAGAAGGCCCATAATCGTTTTCGTCTTGCCTGTTCCTGGTGGTCCTTGAAGTAGAGATACACCCATGTTGTAGTTATTCAGCACGCTGTGGATGGACTGCAACTGGGATGAATTATACTGGGGCTTAATTGCCTCCCACAGATCGGGCGATAGAAAGCGAGGTGCGCGCTCCAGAGTATCTTTCTTATCCATGAGACTCGTCCACTTTTCTTTGAGCTTTCCAGAAAGGGTCCTGACTTCTGCATCATCGTGCTTGCGCAGCTTGTTGACAGCTTTACCTATACTAGTAGACTAAAGACAAATAGAAGTGAGTGCACCGCCAATAGCTAGACTTGCTGTAGTACAGACAGAGGTTTACCCTCAAATCGGTCAGCATCACGTCCATCTTGTCTAAGCGTTTCAGAATCTTCACAATACTTGCTTGACTGTTTTCGCTTGATTTTTTCGATCGCAAGTCATCCAGTACCGATGTGATGGTAATGAGCTCTGATTGTGTAGACTTGTACGCTTCTGGAGTCAAAATAGCTGTTCTCAGGTGCTCGGGGAGCATATCGACGGACCGAAGCGCAATGTACTCGCGCGCAGACGTCACCAAATTACAGAGCGTGTTTACCTTCCACTCTGTATCGGCGATTGCACTCGCCGCCAACACTTCAGTCGAGAACGTACCTACACTTGCTGTCGCGTTGTCCAATTCGCCATCATTCAGGAAGAGCACCTTTACAGATTCTCCATCTTCGTTCTTCGAATTCTTTTTTATCGACGATGTTTGCCGTCGCCCCTTTTCCGTCTCGCTGATCAAGACGACACCCAAAAACTCCCGCTTATTCATAAAGCCACTTTGGTCATCGCTACCAGCTAAAATTTGCAAGAGAACCACGTCGCCATTTCGAAATAACTTCTCATTGAAGCTTCTTCCCGGTCGTCTCTTGCCACCGAAATTTGCTTGAGAGCTCGCTAGCAGCGCTTCGTCTTTTTGAGCAATGCTGAAGCTAATACAACGCATACCTTCTCGTGGCTTTTCAGACTCGTAGCGAAGTAGATGACCCCCATTTCGATACCAACATGTTCGGAGGCGTTCTTGGACTTCATTGTTACATTCTTCTAGCATCAGTGGCAGAAAAGCTCGGACATAATCCGCATTCTTCTTGAAATTCAAACCCGGAGCTTGTAACTCTTTTTCCGATCGTTCGTTTTGGAACTCACCAGACAAAAGAACAGGCATGCAAATTTGAAGCAATTGCCGGTAAAATGGGAGCAGCGAGCAAATTGCAATTGGTTTCTGTGTAGTTTTGATTCGATGGAAAAGAGCAGCAAAACGTAGATTAGTATCGTCTTTCTCCTCCTCTTCCGTTTGCTTTGGTGCGTCGACCTGTTTCTTCGGACGTTCGAATGACATTGTCTTGTTTGACCCTGGATGCGATTGTTTAATACCTTTTATGGTTTGAGATAAATCAAAGGAAGACTTCGGCTTTGGTGCCTGTTTCGTAGAAGGTGCCTTTGTTGAAATTGCGTGGTACTCTTCTTCCGAGTAAAAAACATGCTGTCTTCGAGCTGCTGCTTCGGCAGATACTTCCTCAGCACCAGTAAGATCCACCAATGCGTGACCATGAGCTCCAGCTGCCGACTTCCCACTCACTGGCCTAATAGAAAAACCAAGCATATTCGGAGAAGGTTTAGCTCTCGGCGGTAGCTTTGACTTTGACCGAGAGAGGGTCATGTCTCCAAAGTTTTGCAGACTTGATCCTGTCGAGCGCTTCGTAAAAAAATCAGAGTGTTGGCCCATTTGACGCAGCTTTTTGGTCATGCGACCAAAATCAGTAGACTGTCTGGACTCAATTGATGCTGCTTCGGCTTTTATGCTGTCGATCAGAGCAAGTGTTGTTTCATCTAGACGAGTATTTCCTTTCAAAAGGCACTCCAACACTGTCATCAGCAGCTCAGCAGCTCGCTTGTTCTCAGACGCCGACCCCTTGGATATACACTCAACCAGTGGAGTTATCAGCCCTGCCACACGCTTGCTGGACACGCCTGGGTCTTTCAACACTAATATCCAGAATTTCCAAAATGATATTCCAAAGTCAAGACATTGCACTCGAATCGTTTCTGTAACCTCCACCGACAATTTGGTTGTTGGGGCGAGCAAATTGGTTAGTAGAGCGATCAGAAACTCGTTGATCAGATTGGGAAGCTTCAGCAGGTGTACTGCTGCGATGCCAGTATCCGTGACCTGGTGTGATGATGTGGTCATAGCCTTCGCATTTGATGCCTTCATGAAAACTTTCTCCAGGTCACCGCTCAGCATTTTAAAGACGCGGGACCAAACAAAAATAAGCTTCTTCATGGCAGGCAAACACACAGCCTGGGAAAAGCCGTACAGGCGCATCGATTGAAGCATGGAAAGTTGACCACGTAAATAGGCCTCGGGATTTCGGTGAACTGAAATGAGAACAGCTTCTAACGGAGAAGGTACTTGTGTTGGCTTCTTCTTGTCAACAGCATATTGGCTGATTAGCCTATCGCGAGGAACCAATCAATATACAGTAGTTAGAATTTGCCATCCGGAAAAGATACTTGTTGATGTACTACTTCGCAGTAAGTAGTACAACACACTCGTACCTTTTTATCATCTGATCGACACTGCTTGTCGGACTCAGATAGCAAGCACTTATATGTTGGGACACCACAGGAAACCGAAAGGGATTAGCTAGGCCCTTGTGTAACACCTCATTACACATTCGCTGGAGATACTGTTGGGTGTGATCCTCATATTTCCGTAATATTGTCGTGATTTGTTGATGCTGGTTACTGGGGGTGGTCTGAACGACTAAACCGTTTAGTAGCTCAGAAATACCTCCAATTGACTCAAACAGTGCTCCGTGAACTTGAAGCGGTATCGTCGTGACCGTCTTCCATGAACACAGTTTGATCAGCAAATCAGTGATGACCGGCTTTCCCTTGGTAATAGCTTCTATCGATGCTGGCTTCCCCACATTGCTAGCAATAATGCCCGAATACACAATATCCCGAGCAAGTTGCAAGTGTTTGCTCAATATGAGGGCGGTTGTCTCTGCTGCCAAGTCAACTAGCGACTCAACATTGTTAGGCTTGATAACAATACCAAACAAGTGATCCATCCATAGCTTCCCCAGGTGCTCATTAGTACTGTCTCCAGTTCCCGAACTACACGGCCACCAGAAGGCGCTTTCAGAGATGGAATAGTCAATAGAGATCGATTCAGATAGCGCGCCTTCCTCTCGTCCACTTCCACAGTTATTTTTTACAGAACCGGACATGCGGTATTCGTAACAGTCAATCAGAATAGTAAAGACTGCCCTTGATGCTGCTACAATGGCAATGGCGTCGTAATGCTTTGGGCGAAAATCCTCGGCAATTAGAAATTGCAGGATTTCCCTCCGTGTCTTCAAATAATATTCGAGCTTTTCTAATTTTCCTTCGTTGGCCTACAGAAAATGGAGTGGTGCTTGTCAGGAACTTTACAACGCATGAATCCAACGTAAACACATTGTAACATACCACTTGGCTAGAGATTTGAGGTGGACGCATGGCCACTAGTAATGGCGGTAGAAGCTCAATAAACTGTTTCGTAACAAATACACGCCAAGTCCCGAGACGGCAATGCTGCATTACCACTTCTAGCACGACTTTTGGGGAGTTAACGCTGTGGTTCCAAAACCGGTGTCCCAGACAGCGTAAAAGAACCGCAAAACACTTAGACACCTACACACAGCTCATGTGAGAACAAAATGGCAATACTCACTAGATGCCGATGTATTTTGACACAGCGTACCACCAATGTAAGTGTCTGGTCTCCTGCGGGATCTGCATCTTGTAGATAGTTGAACGCTACATCCGGGATTGTGTCGAACGAATCTAGCATCACTTCTAAGCTGTTAACGTCCATTTGCTAGCCACAACATTACATACAGTTGTCACTTAGTTCATCAACACAGTATCCGATGCTTGCAATGAATGTATCACCTGCATTATGTGGTCAAATGCAGACCACAACATCGGCTTCGTCGGCGTCTTCACACAGTTTGTTGGCTCCAAATACTATCATGTTTTCACAAAATATGATGTTGATACGAGATTTGATACAGGATGCAGACAATCATATCTGGGGCAAAGCACTCACGTCTTGGAGATCCTCTGTCGTCTTCAAGTCCAGCGATAACACGGATTTGTTAAATTCTTCGCTTTCGAGAATATACATCCACTCGTCTAGAACGTTGAGTAAGTACTGATCGTTTCCATAATCACCACTTAGCTGGATTTTGCCAAAGTGTTGAACGGTTTCTTTAGCCCACCCTCTGTAACAAAAAGAAGGTTATTATGATACATGTTGTAATTAGCAAAGAGTTAAAGTGACGCAAGCACCAAGAGCAGAACCACGCACCTCACAGCAGGGTCTGGTGATACCAGTAGTTGGTACAGACCAGGACATCCGCGTAAGCATTCCAGACTTGGATTAGCTTTAACATCTGAGAACCGACAAGAAATCCACTAGAAAAAACCATAACCCAAGGTTAGCTCAATATTTCCGCCATGGCATCAAAAAGTCATATACCTTTGACAGCACTCGCACAATGCGAAAATCCGACAGCAGTCGCCGATGACTAAGCACTTCGTACAGTGTAACTGCTACCGTTTCCAACACATTGGACGAAGTGTTTGCCAATCCCATTGACGTGTTTGCCAATTGACGCCGGACTCGATCAGCGTCCAAGCCTTGAAGTTTAACAAAAAAGGACTTGATCGAATCAGGTGTAAATTCAAACTCGAGCTCAACGTGAACACTCGGCATGGACGCATGATAAATGTCCACACTACATTCCAAAGTAACACAAAATAATGTACAATTATCGTACCATAATTTATAATTCAAACACAATAATTCTTGAGTACAATAATAATAATTTTACGTATATCTTATGTACCATTGCCGACATTTCCCCAATTGATGTTCCATTCGTTTATAAAAGATACATACACTCTCAGAGGTTGGATAAAGTTCCAAAACACGCATCATAAAGACCATGAGCTGGGAATAACTACACCACCAATGATGGATCTCAAGATTATCCATTAAAAATTGACCCACACAACTATAAAGTCGTTGTTTTAATACTGTCGTGTGTTTCGTCTGTTCTTGATCGCATAATTGCCGCACTTCGTTTTCTAATGCCCGTGCCTGGATCTCCATCGATAATTTCCGAGTTATAACCAATGAGAGTTGATAATGTTGAGTTTTTATGTGGACTACACACTAGAAAGGTTATGATTACGTGGTAATTGTTTTGGAAACTGTAATCGATCATTGTTACACATGTCACAGAGTTGGTAATCAATCATGATAGGGTCTCGAAAATGGCTGGTGTTCCTGGAAATCGCCTTCCAGCAAATGATTCTATCTGCTTTAAGCTATTTTAGTGGGAATGCAAGTGGTATAATGGCACTTTTGGTCGGTGTATTGTCAGGTTTTGCTTTGTGTGACTTGTGGTACTTTATACGCATGGAGCTTCAGTCACTTATGCCTGCAGGACGTGGCCCTCGTCGTCATTTGTTTGCGTTGAGCATGATCAAAGGTCATGTTGGATTCATGGATATTGATCGTAATGGTCACTGTAACAACTCGCGTTTTCTACGTGAGTGTGGCTTTGGTCGTCGTGATCTGTGGCAGGTATGACAATCGATATGGGAATCAAGTGACCAATTCAAATTTCATTTCACGCGTTTGTTGTCTGTTTATTGCCAGTACAATGGCGTATGGAAGGTCGTGACAAACGCGGGCGGTAACCTTGTGGTAGGTGCACAGACTGTACGCTACCGGCGTGAGCTGTCATTCGGTCAGGCCTATACGATGGAGACGCGACTTGTTTGTTGGGACAAGCGCGCCTTCTACGTCGAGCATCGGTTTGTGACCAGAGATGGCAACGGAGACTTTGTAAATGCCATTGTAATGGTGAAGAACACGGTGATAGGTGTGCTGAGCCCCGAGCAGATCATCGGGAAGCTGCCGCAGCTACAGTTTGATGAAGAGGCTCATCCGACGATGCCCGAGGACATGTCTGCCTGGATCCATAGCAACGATATTTCTAGCAAGATGCTTCGCGCTGAGGCTGTGAAGTAAATTGTTTGAAACGGTAATGTCGCCCCATGACATTACGGGAAGAAGCCCCACTTACCAATTGATGCCATCTCAATGTAACATCGTTCAAGTTGAGTGATGTAGCATGCAGAGAATGACGGCAATTTTCGAATTCATTGCTTCATAATTCAGAATCCGGCGTTGAGGCACTTTACCGTATGAAGCCGCATGTTGGTGTGCTAGAATATTGGACCCTCAAAGTGGAATTGAATTGCTCAAAACCCACCACCTGTGTACATCTCTACGTGACGTTTGCTTTAGCAGCTGACTCAGTCTTTGCCGCTTGTATATTTGTGGCCGTGCTCAATCCATTCCTGCTTACAAAACACACGAGTGATTCATTTTTTGAAACCTACGTGCACACTGCAAATGCCTTACCCCGCTCCTGCAACGACACATACATTGTAACTCGTTATAGATAACCGGGCATGAGTAGAACGCTACAAATCGACTATAGAACAAATATATAGCAGTCATGGAGTGAGGGTATTTGAAATTGTTGGAGAGACCGCCTTGACCGTAGTGATTCTTTCAATCTCTAACATCGATACTCACATCTTTACTATTCGCTTGCTCGCTTGCTATTCGATGACCAGTAAGTTCACACGTTACATACTTGACAATTTCATACTGTATTTTTACTGACTCATAAGCAGGAGCGTCATGGTCCAGCGCAATTACAATGTGGTAAATCAAGCCCAATACAGTTTCCTATGGATTCGTTGGTCATTGTTTTGTAAGAAAAGAACTCGTTGGTGTGCAGGTGTTCCATGTGTCGCTCTTGTTTAACATGATGCTACATTATGAAAAGCGTCGTCCATGGTGGAGCTACATTGAGCCAAAACTGATCCTTGGTGCACTGCCACTACAAAACAAGAACCATTTACACCAGGTATAAAACGACTTGCAGGCTCTAAACGTTCTGTCTCAGCTAACTAGTTGTTTCTTGCAATGACATATACAGTTGGTGCACGGAGAGGGCGTGAAAGCAATTGTTACTATGAACCAGCCAGTTGAGCTCTTACCAAATTTCTTGTCAACGCCAATTTCTTCAGGTACACAACCGTCCGATGAGAGGTCATGCTTGATGAAAGACCAATGCTTTTTACTATGAGTTGTTCATTACCGATGTACAGCGGAATGGGAGAAGGAGCAAATCACTCAGTGCTTCGGGTCGACCGGGGACTTTTCTCCACCGACACTAGCTACCATTGAGAGGTTGGTCGTGGAAGCAGTTTGTTGTTGCTGAGTTCGTTTGCTCTGACACTGCTTGCATGCAGATGCGTGAATTTTGTTCATGAGCAGATTGACGTGCAACAAAACACGACGTACGTGCATTGCAAAGCTGGTCGTGGTCGAAGCACGGTAATCGTCGTGGCATTCCTCATTAAGTATCGTCACATGACACTCGATGAGGCCTTTGAAGTGGTAAAAACCAAGCGACCACACATCAGTCTCCATCCAAAGCAGCACCATATCCTACGAGAGTTTAGTGAAAAGTACTCGCCATCACTTTCGTCTAGCCCTGCATCGCCTGTCAGTGCATGCACACGAAACCATGGACAATAGAAGGTCACGCCTATATTTTCATTCAACAGACAAGCTTACACTAATCTAAATGTGTAGATACCTTCGTCGTTTATAGGTTCATCCCACTCAAAGCCAAAGTTCTTTGCAGTATCTAAAACGTAGTCAATGGACACATTGCGTTTCGTGTACGCCAGCAAAAACTCCGACGCGGCCTTGTCACCACTCTCCACAAGTTGACGGCCAGGTTTCAACAAGTATTTCGCCGTCTCAAAAAGTGACACAACATGTTCTTGCTCGTAAATAATATCAGCTCCCAGAACAATGTCAAACTTGTCTTCAATCTGATCCAAGTCGATACCCCAAAGAAGTTTTCTGCATTGCACCCTATCCTCGACCTTATTGAGCTGGCAATTAGCAGTCAATAGCTCAATGGTAACATCATCACCGTCTGTCATTACCACGTGTTGATCCGTAAGATACGACGCCAAAATGCCAACAAGGCCGAGTCCACTACCCAGTTCGATGATTGATTTACCAGCAAACCGGCCACGGTTTTGGGACATGTAGTCACTCAAAAAGTCCCCAGCACGCCAGAGTGTGAGCCCCGTAGACTGCAACGTCTGTCCAATATCACGTCGTAAGCCATTAAGACGTATTATAATCTCTGCTTCACCTTTTGACGTGCCAAACTTGAACTCAAATGAATCTTCCTTGGGCTCAATGTCCAATGCATTTTGAATGTCCAAACGTATATCTGATGAATCAGTGTTCATGGCAATACCTTGTTCAATCGCAAATTCCTGTAGAGCTGCTAGTGATGCAACTGACAATGTCAAGTCCTCACCATCACTATCGTTGTCGCTATTGCTGTTCATCGTACGTAGGCCAGTCGAGTCTGGTAAGATATTTAAATTACCGTTTGCGACTGTAATTATTAATTTCAAGGCACCAATGAGGTGAAATTTAAAATTACATTATTTTTTTGATTTTCATGCGAAAAAACGATGCACTTCTAGTAGAAAATAGTTGAAAGAAGCACTCATCATTCTCATCAAAACTTTCGCCCTCGATTCTATTCATTTGTGCATTGCCACAGTATATGGAGCAAACGGTTCCACTCGTCTATTGAAGCTCCACAGTCGGGTACCACTGCTTGAGTATGTCAACCAGCTCTTGGAAACTATCATCCACCACCTTGTTGACGAGAATGGCGTCAAATACACCCGGCTGCTGGCCAAAAGCCATCTCACCTGCACCGTTCTTGAGACGTAGTTGAATCTTGTCCTCCGTTTCGGTGGCACGTCCACGCAAACGCTTTTCGAGCTCTTCCAGGGAAGGCGGAGCAATAAAGAGGTACTTGGCACGAATCCCCGCCTTCTTAACCTGCTCCACGCCTTGGATATCGATGTCCAGGATACATATTTTGCCCTTCTCTTGCACATCCTGCACGGCACGTTTACTGGTGCCGTACACGTTACCATGCACCTGAGCGTGCTCCAAAAATAGATCGGCTTCAATCTCTTTACGAATTTTTTCCTTATCCGTAAAGTGGTAGGATACCCCATCAACTTCACCCTTACGCGGTTCACGTGTCGTGTGGCTCACGGAAAAGCCAAACGTATTGGGAAACGTTGTTAATAACAGATTAATGAGCGTTCCCTTGCCAGCACCTGAAGGACCAGCGATCACAATTGGCTCAAGCTAAATAAGACATATGTAACCAGAAATGGTCAGTATAAAGTTCACATTATAACGTCTAATTCACTAGAAATTTGTATCCAAACCTCTGTGTGCTGCGGTTTGGAAGCTGAAAAATGATCAGCCGCAAAAGCCACGACATCTTGTGGCTTTGCAAGCAGTAGGGACGACATGAAGCTACTTAGCAACGTCTGAATTTCTGGATGTGCCTCTACGTACGCGGTGTGTTCTTTTTTAAGTGCCTCTTTGCGCTCAAGCGACTCTTGACCCGTTGTGCTCATTATTCGGTTGGTTCGAAAATTGGATAGCTCTTGGACGTATCACTTAGTATTGTTACTTTTGCATGTGACGAGGCAATTGTTGTGTATGCTGGTATGTGCTTACAGTATCTACTTAATGTGCTGGACGACTGTAACTGAAGCTACTGCAACACACTCGCGTTGGCTGATAAGTTCACTGCTTCATCTTGTGCAGGTGTATCATAGTGGGTCACGTGGACAGAAGGGTACGGATGAGTACTCAAAGCAGCGGCCGAACCGAATGCAGGAGATTGTGTCGCGGAAACAGGAGCTGTAGCATGAGACGCAGTGTCAGCTAGCTTGGGGTTAAAGATCTTGAACTGAGGCGGTCCACGAGTCGCACTGCTAACATTTGGAGGCGCATATCCAGCATACCCACCAGCTAAAGACGTGTGCGGCTTGTTGGCGTACGTAGAGGCGTACGGGTTTGCGCCAGGGACAGAAGTCGTCGGACTCGAACCTTTACCTGGAATACTATCCGTCAGAGTAGGTGCTGATGGCATCATGACAGCCGGAGGCGGTGCTGTGACCTTAATCTCACGCGTGTTCCCAAACTTGGCAGTCAGCTCCTCGTTGCCCACACTAGAACCGAATCCATCTGCTTGAATAGGACGATAGTCCTTTGGACGAGCGAATCGTGACTGTCCGCCACGAGGAATAGCACTGTGGGTAGCAGCCGCGTACAAATTATTCTGCGGCGTCTCCTGTTGCGGCATCCCCATCGGTGGACTCCGCATCGTTGAATAGTCTCCGCTAAGCGGAGGAGGAGCAATGACCGGTCGGGGTGCCATCGGGTCCACAGAGGGGGTAATGCCAGGTGGTAACATCGAATCGACTTGCGTTGGGTCTTCGTGTTGAAACTGCAACGGTAGCAAATACTGGCGGATATTGTCTCCCTTGGCCACGTCATAGGCCGTGTGCCCATTCCGATTGCGAAGTGCGGGGTTCGCCCCATTGTTTACCAGGAACTTAACAGCATCGTCACGATTCTGTGCAGCCGCATAATGAAGCGGAGAGTTTTGACGTGAACACGTGGCGTTCACGTCCACATTGTGCGCCAAGAGGATCTCTAGAAAGCTCACGCGGCCATGATATGCTGCCGTATGAATAGGCAAATTTCCCGCTTCGTTCTTAGCATTGGGATCGATGTTTTCTACGTCCAACAAGTGCACAAACTTTTCTTGCAGTCCCTGTTCAATCGCGGCATGAACTTCCTGCTCTGGCGTTAGTGTCGGTGCCAGTAGTTCACCTAAATTCTTCACATTGAGCTTGTCAGCAATAAACCCAAACATCTTTTTCGTGTGGGTTTTTCAAAGTGTGTGTACAGTGAGAGACGAAGGGGTGAATTGATGGTGTCACTAAGAAGAAGACGGAGAAGGCGTGATGGGATGTGAGCTTTTCAGACTTGTGTATGTGACATCACCAGAGATTTCAAATTTAGTAAGTGTTAGGGTTACTACTTTAGTGGGGTGCACATAATGCACCTTGTCGCAGCGTAAGAACCAAAAGATTCAGCGAACTATACAAACATCAAATCATTTCATTCACGATTTAGCACTTTTAAGACAACAATTCCAACGATGATTCCAATTCCTACGGCTCAATTGCTGCCACAGACAGCTGCGGACATTTTGCCACGCTCCTACATACCAAATAAAGACCCCAACACTGGAATGGACACGACTAATGCTGAATGTGCATATTGTCACAAGAATTTATTCGAGAAAGACATTGTAAAGCAGCCGCAATGTGGTCATTTGTTCCACGCTAACTGCATTGAAAACCACTTGCAAAAGAGTAATTCCTGCTCTGTATGCCACATGCAGGTGCTGTTCCCGGCTGTGGCTGCCGGGTCGGTCTATCCTTCAACTCAATTGCCTCCGCGTGTAGTCCCGATGGCAACCGCTTTTACGCCAGCGGAAGGCACCAATTCAAGCGACTATGCAATGTGTCGAGAGTGTGGACAGCCGTTCTACCGGGACCCGAACAAGGTCCGACCTGAGACTAATGCATGGTATCGCTGCCACCGTTGCGCACAGACAGACATTGTTGACTTTATTCGAGGCAGTTTTTGTATCTTGCAGTGAGTAACTAACTCTACAGCAATTAATCCTCCAAGAAAAAGATGTTGTGGAAGACATTTATCATTTTTATACAAAACATTTATCATTTTTATACAAAACCATTCATCATTCATACAAAGACATCATCATTTTAGTCGCTCTTTTTTGACATTCTTTTCGTGATAAATAAGAGTCAACCGTTCGCTTGAATACAGTAAAAGACGTATACATTACAAAACCTTTACATTTAATCTGAAACTTAAATTTCAAGTTTCATTATTTAGACGGCATATGAAAAATGAAGGAACGGATCAAGAAGCACGAAGCTCGTAAAGAGCCGTCCGTTAAGCCAAAAACCCTTATGAAAAAGGGCGATTGGATCGGTAAGTGACATTTCTTCCATTCTCTCTTTACCCGTGACATTAAACTGATAACTTTGTCTACTTTTAATGTGTACTCAGATGCATTGGATGCCGATGGGGTGTGGAATGTTGCTCGAGTACTGAGTGTTCCATCACCAGACCAGGTGCACCTTTTGTCACTTTTTGTTTTCTTAAGTAAAAGTGAACCCCCTTGAGTTTTAGGGCTGATAGCTGATTAAATTTAGGTGGAAATTACATATGATGGCTGGCCATCGGACTATGATGAAGTCGTGTCGATTACTAGCCACCGTGTCGCTCCGTACAATACCTTTACATGGACTGTCAAATGCTGGGTTAAATATCTAAACTGGCCGTTATGGCCCTCTGTGGTACGTCCTTTTTCTTTTCAACTAGCCACTCTAGTAAACGAGCACTAGGTTAATGTTTGTGTGATGGACTTACTACATACTGTGTTATAGGTTACAATTCGGTCACCAGGAACAACAGTAGGTATCACTAACCTCGCAGCTGAGAATCGACTTTTTGTCGATTTTCTCGACCATCCGAGTTTGGCTAAACGAGACAGGTAAGAACAACCCACCACAATAGGAAAATGTTATTCTTGGCTTGGTAAGAAGATGCTGGTTGATATGGCAGGTGCTGGCAAAAGAAGGCACATGTACGGCCCTTTGAAGAGAATTTTGACCGAAAGCGCACGGGATCGACTGGCGAGAGTTTTGAACGAGCATTGGGATGGGTGCTGCAATCCGATGCTTCTTTGAAGATGCCCAAGTTTGCTGGCGGTACGTTACCAAGAGAGTTCAAACATTGTCCGGCAAAATCTGTCGAGGCAATACGAAGAGACATGGGTGACAAGCTGTGGCTCAAAAATCTCACTCATAGCAAAAAGCATCATCAGATGAATTACGTCTACGAATCAATCGGATGTAAAACGAACGACAGATTACGCAAAAACTCAATGCCATCGACACAGAAAGAGAGCTTCTTGAATTTATCAGCGACGAACGTGGAGCCGCAAGTGGTAACTAACGAGGAAAAGCGTCCGAGTAGAATCAAGAAAGATCAGAATCCACGTATTGAGAAAGAAATGCCACACAAGCGAGAACTAATGGACAGCAGTGACGCTTCTGACACTAGTCGGTCAAAAAGAACGCGTTTGCATACTAAGCGAGAGTCAGATGGTCTGTCCAACACAAAGAAGACGGAGCGAAAAGAACTCGGACGTTCTGTCTCACCTCACATGAGCAAAACTTCAAAATCTGCTGCTCAGCTTGCCGTCAAGAACGCCAAAATGAATCACTCAAAAGGTACGTTGACATGTGAATATTATTTTTTCGATGCTGCAAACAAATGTTGATGATTTGGCAATAGAATTTGCAGGACGGACTAAAGTGGCTGCTCGGCAAAGAGTTCTACCTATCGGAGAGTATGCGAGTGTTGAGCTATCAGACGACAATAGCGAAGTAGGTGAAGCGCAAAGTGTTTCTGTTGTCCCTCAACTGGATACTGTCATAAAGCGTTCTGCAGCTGCCAAACGCAAGAAGCGGCCAAGGAAGAATGATTTGAATGTCGACTCAGACCACAGCATTGAATTGGAGACATCGAAAATGGTCTCGATACGATCTAAGACGACGATCAAGCGTCAAAGCGCAGATTCGAAGGAAAAGAAAATAGCGGTGGGATGTGGGCAACATCTCGCTGCGGAAAAAGTATCAAGGCATGAACGGATTGGACTGAATGGCCGCAGCCTCTCGCAGACTACATGTACGTCTTTTTGTCTCTTGCTATCTCCATGGAACAGCTATAATTTAATGTTGTACTGAATGACGTGTAGTACACGGTATCATTCAGCCGATCTCTCCTTGTGTCAGCGAAATGGAGTCGCATCAATCGAGGTCATCCAATCTGGATGTATCGCGACGAGCCGGTAAAGTGCATATATCTTTGGACGCCAGATACAAACCCATCCAGGAAACTGGAAGCATACGAGAAGCTGACTCAAAGGACTCAGCAGTGGTAGAGAGCTGTGAAATACATCATTCGACTTTGCTAGATGCGGACAAACATAGTACTCACGAAGATGGCTGCAGTCAGGAGTTACGAAGACGGTTTTGTGTGATGCAAGCAGACCAAGAAGGTAAAATGTCTTGTCATCATGGACGCGTACTGGATGACATGCTTCACATTGACCAACTCGTGTGTATTGGCTGCGTTGTTTTTACATGCAGATGCTACCGAGACGGTAAAGTGTTCAAAGAAAACTGTCATTAGTGTGCCAAGGATGTTTAAGGAAATCTCGACTCCTGAAGTACCGACTTGTTGGACTGACGGAATGGTTGGCATCGCGCCATCATCTAGACTTTGCACTTTCGCTTCAAGTGTTGAGACTGGTGCTGCAGTGGCTGCTCCTTCATCGACAGTAGTGTTCAGCTCCAGCATTGGTTTCTCAATGGAGTCATGGTTTAAGCGCAAGTTGATGACGGAATGTATCGGCGGTGAAACGTGATGCTCATCAATGTCATTACAAGAGATCAGAGGTAGCATTCGAAAATGTATTTTGAGATTGCAACATTATAGCAAGAAAGCGTATTGTGTCAACAATTGTAAGTTAACTTTATAGATGAAATGGGCAACTATATGTAGATTATAGTTAATTGCTACGCAAGCAGAAAGTGCCACCAACCATCACGAGCTTAGGTCGAGTTTCACTTCCTCACTGGTGCCCGGATCCTCCATCGTTACCTTGACTTTGCCATAGAATTTGTCGTATTGAGACGCAATTTGGTCGAATATTTCGCGCTCCAAATCGCTGTCGGACTTTTTTGCTGCTTTCAACATGGCGTTGATTTCCCTCGGGTATTTTCCCTCTTGCAACCACTTTTCAAATAGTGCGTTTCTCAGGTTCATCATCAGTTCAGTTGTATCTTCAAACTTGATTATCTTCATTGTCGTGTAAATCACATATGCAATAAGTATGTCGTTCTCAAACAATGTTTTCATAGACCGGAAAATGTATGGCGTTATATCAATCTTGTAACTCCTCTTTTCCATTCTATTGAGGAATTCGAACCAGTAGGCAAGAGCTTGCTCTCCAAAATCCTTAGGTTTTATGGAGCCCCTTTCAATAATTTCCTTGACGCTATCAAAATTTGCAGAATTTTCTAGGCCGCTTTCAGTAATTTCAGGATTTTCTTCAATAATTTCAGATTTTGTCGTGCCGCTTTCAGCTTTTATCGCGTCGCTTTCAAGGTTTTCAGGTTTAATCGTGCCGCTTTCAAGATTTTTAGGTTTTGTCGTAAGCATTTTAGGTTTTATCGTACCGCTGGACTTAAGCCTTTTTTTCGTCGAAAACTTTTTTTTGAAAAAAAACCCCTTGATCTTTGCCAAAATCTGGTCCAGACTCATACCGATGTCCGAGAAAGTAACGCGCTCTTCGGAAGTGCTGGTATGATCAGCCACTGTCATAACCGCCCGAGACCTTAGCATCCGCTTGATCAAGACCGGGGTGTGAGCCGCACTCAAAGCTTGAAAGCTGCGTCTGCCATCCTCAGGTCTCGATTCGGCGGCAGCCCCACTTGCAACTAACCACGCGGCCAGCGCGACAACTATCAGCGCCTTTGTGAAGGCAAACTGTGCTATGTTGGACTTGAAAGCCATGCGAGTGTGAGGTTGGCAGCAATGTAAAAAATGAAAAGTTTAGAAACTGCTAATCTAAAACCAGTTCAGTTTTTTACTCTGCTACGGCGGGAATAGTATGTGGAGTCATGTCTCGAGCATGCGCCTCGCGTGGCCACCGGATGGAATAGATAGCCCGGCTATCTACTAGCCGGACTATCCATCACATCCTGAACCTTCGCTCGACAAGACGCAACAAGATGCAAATCCATAAGGTTTCTGACTCGATCTAGAATATTTCACGTGCACTTCGTAAGTGTTGTCTTCTACACTCTAGTAGCATCTTTTTTTTCATATTGTTCTTTATTTATAGGCTGTCCTGTTCGATTATGCAAGTTGTTGCACTCGAGATGGTAAACAAATATATGTGGTGTAAGTGGACACTTTCAATTGATTGGATATTGTCAAATTGTTGACAACATTTGACAATGTCGTATTTAGCAAATCCAAAATCAATGTGCAAGGTACATAAAATGTTACCGACCGGTCGTTGCAAAACCGCGCGAGTAAAAAAATCAAGTCAGAAACCCGTCGATAAGTCGCTATCAGTTTCAACAGGTTTCGGATTCTCCCCCCCCCCCCTCACAGGCTTAAGACCGACCAATCGACCGAAGCGCCTGGAAAAGGGTATGTCCAATGAGAACGAAGCGTTCTTTTCTGCCTATGATACGCTTGATATATTCCACTCACTCATGTGTCCCTCCTCCCTGTGTGTCTGTGATAAAATGATGACGTAGACCCTTGAAGCACCACGACACAATCATGTCAAGTGATGGAGATAATAATACTACCACTTCCGCTACGAATGCCAATCTTCAAATGCAATTACAGCTGCAAACGCAACGGGCTCAATTGCAACAACAACAATTGGCCCTTCATGCTTTTTGGCAACATCAGATTCACGATATTTCTCAAATTGATGCCACTAGTTTTGATTTTAAAACGCATCAATTGCCACTTGCACGGATTAAAAAAATTATGAAAACGGACGAAGATGTTCGAATGATTAGTGCGGAAGCACCCGTGCTTTTTGCAAAAGCTTGTGAGATGTTTATTCTTGAATTGAGTCTTCGTGCTTGGATTCATACGGAAGAGAATAAACGTCGTACATTGCAACGCAATGATATTGCCATGGCTATTACCAAGACGGATGTCTTTGATTTTCTTATTGATATTGTCCCACGTGACGATATCAAACCAGCCAAAAAGGTAGGAGGGTTTTTGCTTTTTGAGAAAGAGAGGTCTAGTGTTTTTAGAGCTATTGATGATCTTTTGGTGGTGTTTTTTTGTAGGGCTCTGCGGACCCTCAAACGGTCTACCAGCAACAGCTGCAACAGCAACAAGCAGCGATGCTGCAACAACTTTTGCAGACTCAACAGAATGGCACGACGGCCGGTGGTGTTCAATGGCCAAACCAACAATTGCAGCAGCAAATGCTCCAGCAGTATCAACGGATGCAGCAGCATGCAGCTGGAGCTGTGGGTGGACCTACGACTCCATCGAATGGAGCGCTGCCGAATTTGTCGCCTTCGGGAAGTGACGCTGCTGGTCAAGCTTCGACAAACACGACTCCTGGAGAGTCGACGTCGACATCTGATCAGCTTGCACTGAATCAGCGCAGTGTCGATGTTTAAATGCGTATGCTTGCTCGGTACACAGCCAAGAGATTAGCATGTTTTTAATTGATGGAGCGACTTTACTTTTCGAGAATCTGTTGCTTGTCAACGCAAGACGACAATGTTTTTCGCCAATTTTGAGGCTTTATCTTTGGTTTATATGACGCTAGCTTTATCTATAAGCATCATTGGTTGCGCACGCCACAAGTACAGTCATGGCGAAGTATAAGGGTACGAGCACACTTATTCGGACGATTTGACCGTAACCGGCAATGGCAGCCTTTTAGATCCTTTCTCCGTAATCTTGAGGAGCTGATAGCTAGCCACCCCACCAATCTGGAATAAACAAACAAAAGTTAGTCCGAAACTCGTCCGTCGCTAGCAGAGGATGGTTCATAAAGCAGGCTACGAACCGCAAGTGCCATGCCAACAATCGACTGAAATGTGACGGGGTTGCCAAAGTAAAGCACAGCGCTAAAAATGACAACCACGCGCTTCATTGTGCTCATGATGGAGAAGGTGAGCTCAGAAACCTCGCCCAGCACCCATGACGAGCAGAAACTGCTGACAAAGTACATCAGGCTACACACCAACACCTTGCCGAACGGAAAACTTGCGACAAAGTTGTCTTGGTGAGCTCGTGCCGACATGAGCACAAATGGTGCGTTGATCGCAAAAGACACGAACGCACTGTAAAAGTGGAGCTGTCAAAAGTCAAAAGCGAATAGACACCACTAAGGTTAGAACAAAAGCTTTCACAGATCTTCCGAAATCACTTACGTTCACCGTATCAACCACAATCTGGCGACGCAGCAGGAATTTTGCATACATGCTCTGCATAACACCCAGCAGTGCAGATGTCACGGCAAACATCGTACCCGACAAGGCCAGATCCTGATCAACACAAAATCCGCCGTCAGTTGTCACGTGTACACTACAGTTTGCTGTAATTAACTTACATTTATGCCCATTTCAGAAACGGAAGCCATGAAAACACCAAAAACGATCGGGGCTAGACTCAAGTACGTGGCAATAGAGAACCGCGAACGGTAGGCCATGTAAGCCAGCACCACATTGAAAAAAGGCTGCGACGCTTTACACGTTTGTGTGATGGATACCGGCACGACATTATAGCTCCAGTATGTCAATGTCTTGACCAGAACTGACAGGAGACTAAGTGGTACAATCCACATGATGTTACGGATGCAAGTTCTTTGCATGCGCCAAGCTCCCGTATTTGTCGGTGAACTTGGGAATGTCAACATTAAAACTATATAAAATAGACACAGAGAGAGAAAGAGAGTGACATCTCAGTTTGTATTAAGATAGTGCAAGTATTTGTATCATTCCTCATTGAAAATTCCTACTACTTACAGTCAAGGATAATACTGATAAAATGATGACACATAGTGAGCATCTCGCCTGAGACATGATGCTCTTTAATGAGCACCTTGTTAATAAATGTAGAGGTCGTGGAGAAAATGTACCACACAAATAAACAGCAGCCAACCTGCAAAAGTGACAGCGAACAACAGTATGAAAAACACGATCATCAAAAAAAAAGCGTAATGAAATCAATGCCAATTACCCGTAAAGTCTTATTATCTCGCAGCTGAATGATAGTGTTGACATTATTGGCTTTACATTTCTTCACAGGTGCATTTATACTGCTCTCAAAGTCGTACATAAGGTACTACGTACTTGGACCCGTTTCGGTTTTTCAGGACTGGGCGTTTTATACTGACTAATTTTTGGGTGTAGGCCACATTATACCAGTAAGCTTCAATAGGTCTCGATTATAGAAAGCTATAAGGATGGATGAATTTTAAACGAGGAGAGATTACAATAAGTCGAAAAGATTAGAAATTAGACAGACTTTTGTCTCTAGAAGCAGCATCGGGGTCGAAACCCCCAAATGGTTGAAATAAATGTAATAAATCTACACAGATCACTTGGACAATTCTATGGCTTTATCTTCCTATTGTACAAGTTGTAATCGTCAAGACCAGATTTTGATTTCAAAAGTGTGCGCGTACTGGAAGAAGATCCATCCGTCAAGTCAAAATGGTCAAATAGCAGTACCGATCCGCAGACGAGAAAGGCTTGTAGCTGTAGCAACAAATTTGTATGTTAACACATTAGGATTGAAGACCTAAGTGAACAATCTTGATTGCAACGTTATCGTCAACCATCTTGTCACCTTCTCCTTGATTCGGTCAAGAGATGAAGCTCTGTGTAAAAGCGTCGGCCATCGTTTTCTATCAGATAGAAGATGCTTCTTGTGCATTAGCGAGACAAATTACTGAAAACGAGATGCAGCCAAGTACGAGCGGTTGCTGGAGTTTAGTCAAGATGAAATCGACTGAATGCGAGTTGAGATGGTAGAGGTTAATAAGCAGTTTCTTGCTTACGAGCACGTAACTTACATCCACTTGTTGCAAACAAAGACGCTCAAGCCGTCAAGCACGAGGTTGCTCATCCGGACAAAAATGTATTGGACTTTATAGATCCACAGGCTTGCACCTTCAAGAAGTACACGACGATTGTGCGGGAAAGTGTCCAAGACGGAAGATCAAGGGAAAACATTTTGGCATTTTGTGCTTAAAAAGGAAGTTGGTGCTATGACTACCTTTCAGCCACGGTTGCCTACTTACACAAGAGCTTCCAGGCATTGGGACTACGCTTAGTTTTGCGTGAAATCGTAATGCTACGTGGTTCTCGAAAAACGGTTAATAGGGAAAATACACGAGTCGTCTCGTTCTTCCTCATTTCTTGGAAAGCTGTAACAGACGACGTACCCGAAACGAAACGAAACGGAACTGTGCAGCTCGTCGCGTGAGTAGCGGCTGGAAAGCACAACAAGATAGCACACTTTCGGTTTAACTTCAACAGTCCCTCCCACGAGTTCAGGATACAATGACTCAAAGCCGACACTGCGAAATTGACGTCGCTCGTTTTCGCAAAGAGCTGCTTTTTGTATGCTGCAAAAGCGATGGCCCATCGACCGACCGTGTTCGACAGCTGCACGTGTACGTTGCCTAAGTGCTTTACCCACCTCTTGAAAACGGCTTTACCAATCGATCTCTTTCTGCCACATGATGAACAGCATTCTCCCCAGTCCAACGGACATGATGCTATCTCCAGTAAGTCGAGCACTCCGAGCGCGATCCCTTGCAAGGTACACTCAATAAGATGCTTGCTGCTTGACGACACTATCTCGGTTCTCATCTGCCAGTAAACGAACATCAATTCATAGTCATCGCCTAGCAACAATGTAGCCATAGCCAATTTTCAAGTACATTCTTGCTTCCATATCGACCTTTTAACGATTATACCAGTGATCTCCATTACACTCTCTTTCATTCAAACACTCGGTTGTTACAATTTCAATTAGACCCCTCATAACATATAGCCTAATGCTTAATACCAACACCATCCCAACCATTCAAGCATAATATTTATTTTCCACATTAAAAAAGCATCGCAAATATGAGCTCTACACTTGACGTAAAATTGAACCGTATTGACCGTATCTTCCATCCTCATGTACGTGGTTTTGTACTACATAGTATCACGAATCAAGAATAACTGTTACAATGCGAGATCTCTTTTATTTACATATCAATAGGAGACCATTCAAGGTCAAGTGATTATTGCGTCACCCAAAGGTTTTTCCCATCAGGGTCTCGCTATGAAAGTGGAAGGAAGCGCTCGTCTACAGTTGTCCACGAAGAACACGGGACTTTTTGAGTCTTTCAACAATAATGTCACGGCTCTAGAGCTCGTGTACTTTCATCTGCCGGTGGCACCAGCGGGCAAAGTCTCTCCTGGAATTTCAAAATTTCCATTTGAATTTGAACTGCAAGGCAATGACGATCAGGAATTACTAGAGACATATCATGGAGTACATGTCTCGGTCAAGTACGAAATCATGTGTGATTGTATTCGTGGGATCATGAAGAACAAATTGCACAAGACTTTAGAGTTTGTGGTGGAAGTTCCAGTAAGTTTCCAGCAGCAGTTTTGGTGGATGGGATGGTCAGTAGGGTAAAATTCTGACTTATGTGAGTGTTTTTTTATGATACTTAGCTACGAGAGCCATTACCAGACTCGCCGTCAGAATTTCATATTACTCCAGCGTCGTTGGAGAATGTTCGCCCGGTAGGATCAATACGGGTGCAATTCTGTCAAATGTCTTCTTATCTGTTAATGCTGGATATAGCAACGTCTATCGGCGATGCCCTATTTCCATATTACGGGCAAGGTTCACCGTACAAACTGTCCGGTAAATTTGCCGTTTACGGGCGAGGTATGGATATTCTTCCTTTGAGATGTAAGCTTCTTCAAAGACGTTCAAGTGTGTTTCTGGTTTTTGCTTTCGGTAGATAATTATTGAGGAAGCAAAGAGCCCTATCAAGTCAATTGAGCTTCAATTGATTCGCGTTGAGAGTGTTGCGCATGCTGACGGAGTTGCTAGAGATGGTTCGTACGGAAGGAGAAATCACCTATTTTCGTTGAGCTGACGACATTTATTTGTACATGGACAGCAACAGAAATCCAAAACGTTCAAATCGGATGGGGAGATGTGTGCCGTCAAATGGCGATCCCGATTTATATGATCTTCCCGCGCTTGTTCACGTGTCCGACAATGCTGACTTCAGGTACGAGCGTGATCCTTCCAGTAGGCTGATGCGAAGCTCTCTAATGATTGTTAATGTTTGTTCTAACACTACGAAGCTTTCAAAGTTGAATTCGAGACAAATGTAGTTGTTCTCTTCGAAAATGGCCACATGATCACAGAGAACTTCCCGATCATATTATACCGATAGGCAACAGCATTGCTGCAACATGCGACACAATAGCAACAGGAATTGCACACATGGTGACGAAATTGTATTTTACGTCAACTTTTTGCAACCGAGCCAAAACTTTTTCTACGTCCAATGTCAACATCAGTACGCTTACTTGTTACGCTTGAAAATCTTGCTAACGAGGAAGGTGAACACCTCTGACGGCATCATCACCATTTGTGCTATCTCTTCAAAAAGCGTTTTGTACGTCTCATCCTCGTATTGATGGTAAGCTGCAACGAGATCAAGCTCATTGTATAGCTTCTTGACGGCTGCAATGGCATCAGGGTCGTTGCGGCCGTAATTTTCCTTCAGCGTTTTCCTTTGCGCAGGCGTCGCACGGTCAAGCGCCTGGACAACCAGCCAGCTACATTTGTTATCCTGGATATCCGTGCCCACCTTGCCAATCACCTTTTCGTCACCGTAGCAGTCCAAAAAATCGTCCTGGATCTGGAAATACTCGCCAATCTGTGCGCAAATATTCTTGGCTGCGTCGTGCAAGGCTTCGTCGACTACTCCGTTCAGAATCATGGCGCATGCAGCCGAGAGGTAAAACGTGTAGTATGCCGTCTTATTAATCGCAATTTGGCGGTACCTGCACGTAGAAACATTCGCATTAGCTCTTTACACATTGTAAAGTACCTGCGCTTTGAAACACATACCGCTCACTCGTGAAACGATCAAGGTCTACTTCGCCGTCCAAGGGTTGGGATGTCAAATCCAGCAGTTGTCCGATCTCCGTGTGAAAGACAACCTAATAGACATACCACAACAATCTCATCACCATGTTCATGTGTCAACGCAATAGGGTGTCAACGCAATAGCAGCATTCAGATTCACGCACATCGTGGAAAGTATCAACCAAGTTCAAATAAAATGGCTCCGAGCGAAAGTGCTTTTTGAGGATCTGAAAGACAAACGCTTCGAGCAGGAACGCGTCATTAATAGCAATCATCTTCACATTGGGCTTACGAAACCAGCACGGCTGTCCGCGACGCGTGATGGAATCGTCCATGATATCATCGGCTACAAGAAAAAATGCTTGGAGCTAACCAGAAAAAAGTCACCTCCATGTAAAAAATACTGTCAATGCCCTGAGACACATTGGCAGCATGACTTTACGCACCCATTCAATGCACCATCCCAGCACACCCGCCTTCTCTTTAAGCTCTGGAGTAAGAATTGTACCCGGGGCCATCGCCTTTGTGCTGCATCCAAGTAATGAGATAAAACCGTCAGTTAAATTCAAGACCTCTAGTGATACAAAATATCTCAATAGACTGCAATTATAACTTACCAATCAATAACACTAAGGCCCCGATTAAGTTTACCACCAATGCAATTGTACTCGATAAGTTGATCCACCCAATTAAGAGATTCCTGAGGAAGTTCATACTTGGTGCGAAGTAACTCCAGTACTTCCAACTTGAGTTTTCTACATATAGCAATAAAATCTACAAATATCTAACATTAACAAAAAAGATCAAGAATTCTTGCCTATAAAATATCTTGGATAAATCATGTACCTTTACGTTCCTGAATCATTGTGAAATGACAAGCAATTAAGTAAGTACGGAATTTTTCAGTTAAGTACGAGGACGTGTTAGCTAGTAGGTATACATCGTCCTCAGTTGTATACCAAATTGTATACAGTTAATTCCAGCTCGTCTGCGAGATGCATGAGAAGAACTAGAGCTTGTCCAAGCATGTACTAGTACGTTCGAGCGACCGATTGACGTCGAATAAATTTCAGGTCAGCATCGAGCTGCTTGCGATAAAACAAGCTCGAGATGCTCGGCTTATAGGTGCTATCAAACACATTCTATACTCTTCAAACTGCGGTACAAACACACTGTATTTCTTACGGCCGTCAATGCTCCTCTCGTATTGTTTGGTTTACTCCATGACTGAGCCCGATTCGTCTCCAATTGGTGGATCCACAATGCTTACACGCAGTAATCGACCATCCAATTCCTGGCCATTCATCTCACTAGCAGCCTCTAAAGCTTCATCAAAAGTCGAGTACACTAGAGACGCCCAAAGATGCATGGTCGAGTGCTCGGGGATCAAAATCTTGGCGTCTTCCAGCGTCCCGTAGCATGAAAACACCTTTCGCAATTGCGTCTCGTCAGTTTTCCAGTGTAAGCCTGTGGTCAATCGACACCAATTGTTAGTCAAAGCACATGCAAGCAGACTCCAGACCTTTTAATGCAATCAATTGATATCGTACCGATAACCGAGACATGTGTCGACATCATGCGACATTTCAATACAGCCAATGAAGGTTTCGAGCTACATTGACGCAATGTCCACATTCCACCCCGACGCATGGCTATCATGGTCAACTTTTGACTTCCTAATTTGGGTTCCAAATTGGTAGTCAGTCCTTATAACGCGAATATTCTTTTTTTCTATCTAATTCTCTACAAGATCACATTTAGTTAATAGCTCTCAAACTACACGTTCGCGTCAAAGAAGGGTCGTTGTAGCTGTTCGTAGAAGCTCCTTCAATCATCTTAGTGCTTTATACTGCATCATATCTACGCTGTCGATCACTCTTTACCTCTGTATTCCTTTTTCTCCGTCAAAAACAAGCTAATAATCTTGCAGTTATGGCTCAAAGTGCAGGCGACAAAGCCATGACTGACATATCAACGACTGTGACGTCTCCAAGCACTAACGATGACACTAATCGGCCACGTCCTCGCTCATCCATGAATCGTCGAAGTGTTTTGCCCGTTTTGCAATTTTGGAAAGCTTTTGATCTTGATAGTAAGCGAGTATTACTCGATTCTCAAGGAAGTACCATGAAGAGTGATAAAGAAGCCAGTGTACGATCTCGGAAGAAGCTGGCAGAGATTACAAAGCAATTTAGAAGACTTGCTTCTGATACTGATAAGGCAGCAGGAGCTGGATCACTATTAAAGGCTTATCAGGAAGAGATTGACCATTTAACACGTCGTGCCAAGTTTTCAGAGAATGCTTTTTTCCAGCTATACAAAGGACTTTATGCTGCCCCGGATCCAGCTCCAGCTTTATCACTTGCAGCTTCAACTTTAGAAACTGATGAGGTCATGGAGGAAAACAGGCAGTTGCAACAAGAACTGAAGGAATACGAAGCAGAATTTGTGACGCTGAAAAATCAGGATATCACGATTCGGAACCTGGAAGAACAAGTTGCTGTTGCTGCTAGAGAAATGGAAGAGACGGTACATCAACAAGTGGAACAACGGACGAGTGAATTGGACAAACAATTGGAAAATGTGCAACTGGAATTGGCACGGCAGCGGTGTGAATACGAACGTCAACTAGAAGCTTCACGCACTGAGTTGCGTGAAGCATTTGCAAGACTAGATGCGATGCAGTCAGAGTTGTTTGCACACAAACAGCGCTTCGGACTTGCACGTAATGCATTAGACGCCGAGATGGAAGCTATCTCGCAGGATTCATTTGTATTGCAAACGCTACAGTTGGAGAATGCTCAGCTTAAGAAACAACTTGATGAGTTACTTGGTTCTTCAAAGACTTTGGGAATCAGTGAGGGACGCTTCTTGGCGCCTTCAAGTGCTGATACAGAAGGAGAAGAGATCGTCCAGTCGGCAAGAGAGACGCTAGCGAAACAAGATACAATTGTTGCGGCGCTACGCCAGGAGGTAGTCCGTCTCAAGGAGGCCAACGCGACGGTAAGTGCAGCTGCAGCTGAAGAATCGAAGAAACTGAATAGCGCACTAGAGAATGCCCAGCGAGTGACAAAGGATTTGGAAGCGCAACTGATAGCGCGCCCGACAATCGAAAAATTCCATGAAATGACCCACAAATTGCATGTCTTGCAGCAGTTGGAGTACAATATTGTCGATGACGACGACGAAAGAAGTAAAGCGTCTTATGTGAACGAAGCGGAAGACAGTGAAGGTGCAGGTGAAGTGGAGGCGGCTACAGTTGAAGTGGAAAAAATATTGGTGTTTCGTGTACGCCGCTTAGAGCACTCACTTCAAGAATGCGAACGGTCGCTACAAGCTCGGACGTCAACATTGGAAAAGGCTCAGGATGATCTTCATAACCGTGATGTTACAATCCGAGAACAGGCGACGCTTATTTGTAACCTCGAGGAGAATGTCGCTGCCCTTGAGAAAGATCGACGAAACCGAGGGTCGGGTGTAATCGGCGGTGACATTGGCTCAGAAATTCTCTTGGATGCTATAGAGGACCACTTTACTGGGACTTCAGCTTTTGCTTATGGCAACAAGGCAGCAGCAGCAGCATCAACCGACGCTGCAACTTGGGACTCTGTCGCATCGTCAGATAACAAGATGCTGGAGATTGTTCGTGGTCAACGTGATCGTTTCCGCGAGCGCATGAAAGAACTTCAAAGCGAGAAGAACCGCGTGGAAGAGCTCGCACAGTCGTACAAGAGCACGGTGACGCGTCTCGAGACAGACAACATGCAGTTGTATCAGAAAATACGCTATCTACAAAGTTACAGTGGTGATAGGAAGGCTGCAGGTTCTCGCAAACCTCATTTCTCTGCATTGGAAGATGGATCTGCTGGAATGTCCGACGTTGAGGCACGTTACCGTGGTATGTATGAAGAAAAGATGAACCCATTCGTGCAGTTCAACAAGATGGAAAACCAGCAGCGTTTTACGAATCTCAATTCTGTGGACAAGATTTTGCTGACGAGTGCCAAAGTATTGCTGGGTCACCGAATCACTCGTAACATGGCGTTCGGCTATATCCTGATGCTCCACTTTCTCGTCATGGCTACTCTCTATTCCTTTATGCATGTCTGCGGGGTCACTAACGACTCGTGAGGTTGAAATGAATGCATTACTCAGTACTCGAGCAACATTTCACACAACCATCGGCGTACCAAAGCATCTGAGTGCACATTAAGAGTAGACAAAGGTATTAGTTTGATGTAACGTGGGTAAAGAGAGAATGGAAAAAATGATGGTTAAAGTCTAGATTCGACATTGCATAAGTTGCTCGAATTGGTGCCTTCCGCTGGCGTAAAAACTGTTGGTATCGGGACTGCACGCGCAGGCAATTGAGTTGATGGATAGACCGACCCGGCAGCCACGGCCGGATCAGCACCTGCATGTGACGTACAGAGCAGGAATTATTCTTCTGCAAGTGGTTTTCAATGCAGTAAGCGTGGAACAAATGACCACATTGCGGCTGCTTTACAATATTTCTCTCGAACAGTTACACACGCGGTTTTGAACGACGGTTAGGCGACATTTTATCGCTCTTGAACATTAATGTTTGATGGATTGATGTTGCTACAGAGCTCCCTCCGTAAAGTTATGGGTACGGATGACGACAATATCCATAACTTAACAGAGGGTAAAACTTATCGGATTATGTGTCTTGTAATAAGAGACCTTAAATAATGAAAAGAAACCTGGCAGGTCCAGCCCTAAGGTTCAGACTGCTAAAACGAACTTAAATCGCTGACTTCCTTAATAGTTGTATCCGGCCCAAAGGTGTGAAACACGTCGTAAACTTGTATTTTCTGTGCTATGAGTGAAAGCTATATGTAAATCTACAGTGTATAACTGTAACGGGGTTACACGACGGTTGTAACATCATTCCGAAAGTTTATGGTTGAAGTTTCCCTTTATTGCATATAATGCATTATGATACTTCTCTTTAGAGAGGTATTAAGTATAAGCGTTAAAGATACGGTATTCGGTGATACCTTATCTTATCGACTAGGATTCGATAATCGATAACGCTGTACTAAGCACATCATACACAGATGTTTAGACAATACGTCGTCCAATAGCAAAGTCTGCATATTATAATTACTATTATAGTAATTAATCTAGTGTAGGGTACTTAGAGTAGGACTATTCATAAAATCTTAATGCATAAATGGAATCAGTTCTCATTTTGAGTTTAAGATCGCAAGTCGTTCTGACTTGTTCTCTTGTGCACTTCGTGCGTTGCTTCTCTGAACCCTTAAGCTTCTAGCTTGTTCTTGCACTCTGTGCGTTTGTTCTCTGAACCTTAAGCCTATTGCTTGACTAACTTCAAGTCTCTTTGGTCGTTCCTTAGAACAGGGTGACTTTAAGTCGTTTAATTAGTTCCTTAATACTAAGTGGCTTTTAGCCTTAACTCTATTTAGTTCTCTAGAACTAAGAGGCTTCCAGCCAAAAGTCTTCCTCTGGCTAAAAGGCTGTGCAGCTCCGCTACACTTGGTAGCACTTGTTGGTCAATCCTACACCTGAGTCTTTAAAGACTGACCCTCTGTGAGAATGGAGAATCAAAATCACCTCTCTGAGGCGACTCGCGTTGGATAAACTATCTGTGTTCGTTGGACCCGATCAAATCGAGGCCCTTTTGGCCCAAGGCCCCGAGGTTCTAAATGCTCGTCTTGAGGCCTTTATGCGTTATGAGCCAACGCTCATTGGGCAGGTCCATGACCAGGCAGCGTCAGCTGCGCCTACACAGTACATCCCGGTACCTGTACCCAATGCAGATCCAAAGGCTCGCCCACTCGTTTTAAACGTGAAAACCTTTGATGGGAAGGAGGGAGAAAGTCTTCTTCTTTGGGTTCGAGAAGTCGAAATGGCAATAATTGCCGCCATGCTTGTGTCAGATAAGCAACGAGTTGGCTTGGCCATTTCGAAGCTCGGTGGAAGAGCTAGAGAGTGGGCTTTAACGAGCGATGTCTCTGTAAATGTCGCATTCCCCACATGAGAAATGCTTAAAAAGCAATTAACTTGCGTGTTTGCACCGCCTAATCAGGCTTATCGTGTGCGCTCACGCTTCCTAGCTACCCGACAGGGTAAGAAAGAATTGTCGGACTATGTCCAAGAGTTGAGAACTCTCATTGCTGCTATGCAGCAGGACCCTCTGGCAGAGGAAGTCCGAGTAACCATTCTTATGGAAAGACTTCGTACTGGGGTCGCCAGGACAGAAGTTTTCCGTGTCCAGCCTTCGACTTTCGAAGAGGCAGTTAGTTTAGAGTTTAACCCTGAGTTCAATTTCAAATCTGCTCGCTATGGTCTGCCATGATACAATTCAAATGCATCTAACAGGGCGGAACCCATGGACCACAGCCATGCTGAAGAAGCTGAGCTTCAAGCTGCTGAGCAGCAAGGTAACATCCGTAGATGTTACATGTGCGGAAGCACTAGGCATCTCCGCCCTAGCTGTTCGTTGCGAAAGCAACGTTCAAATCGGCAGAGCCGAAACCCTGCTCCTAGCCAAAAGGCGAGCACCGCAGGGGAAAACGTCAGCTCCCAGTAGGCGTGGGGCGCCCTACCTTACGGGGAAAGAACTAAGTTCTGTTGAACCTTTAGGAGGTAAAGGAAAACAGGGCTTAGCCCCAGGTGATTCTGTGGATGCTTCCATGGAACAATATTACAAGCCAGGCTTGTTGGTTGTGTCGGCAACCGTTAAGGGTTTTGAGAAACCATGTCAATTCTAATTGACCCAGGGGCGTAAGGTAATTATGTCCGATGTCGTTCGCTTGAAGGGAGTCAGCTGTATGCTGAGGCGCTAGAAGCGCAAGAGGGTGACAGTATAACCGTTCGTCTCGCAACAGGTGCACGTGTCACCGTTCCTAAAGTTCCGTTGAACTTAGGTGTGAAGTTCTTAGACTTCATTAGCGTCGAACGCTGTCTTGTCCTAGATTTGGACTCGAGATATGATCTCATTCTCGGTATGGCTTGGCTGGAACGCCATGAGCCATGGATCGATTGGAGATCCAAAATTTTAGGTGCAACGCGCAATGTTCCTAGCGAAGCTTTGAAGAGTCATGAACCCACCTTCGCTAGGAAACAAAAGTGTTATTGGCGTGAGCCATTAACTGAGTCAGTTAGTGTGCTGGTCATTGGAGTGTCTGAGTTGACAAACTCCAATATCTATAATAATACTGTCGAAAAAAGCTCAATGACACTTAGTGGAAAGGCACGTACTCCAATGAGTGATACTGATTGTAATATGAGACACTGGATGTCGGTAATGACATCGGTTCTCGTATAGATCAAGTGAAGGTCGATGACCTTGTTTGTAAAGTCACTGGTACTTGTGACTCACTGGATGTCAATACTGACATCGGCTCTCGCATAGGGCAGGTAAAGGTCAAGGAATCTGTTGACCTTGGGGATGATAGTATCCCAAGTACTTTAAAAGGTACGGTATCATTAATGAGACGGCAACGTCGCCAGATGGCGGCTGCGAGACGCAAGGCGTCTGTTTTATCACGTAGTAATGTCAGTGACCAGTTGTACACCCTGTTCAACGGAGTGACAGGTGATGTAGATGGTGAGGTTGACCTTGAGGCCCTCCCATCATTAAATTCTCTCTTAGAGCTAGACGAAATGTCTGTGGATGAGTTTCATCAAGCCTTGAAGGCTAGTGATCTATCCGATATGGTGGTCATTCGACCTAATCTCGAGTTGAACTCATCCTCGGTTATCGAGAAGCAGTCCTTCAAGATACTAAGTGCACGTAGTGGATCCTCGATTCTGAAGAATCCTTTAGATCCTTACTACCCTTTAGCTAAGGAATTTCAGGAAGTGGTATGTCACGATCCACCGTCGGTTCTACCTTCTTCTAAGGGTGTACGTCATGAGATTGACTTGGTTCCTGGAACCACATACTGCGTAACACGGCAGTTTCCTTTACCTGTGACGTCATTGACAAGTTCTTTCGTGAAAAGCACGCGGTGGGTATGGTGCGCGAACACAAATCTCCGCACTCGACACCCACTTTTTTTTGTGTTAAGAAACCGAATGGTAAGTGGCGCATCGTTCATGCTTATAATAAGTTAAATGCAGCCACCATACCTGCGCAGACGCCAATACCTAGAAAGGATGTTCTTCGGAACAATATGGTCGATTGTACCATGTACAGTGCGCTCGACTTAGTGGATGGTTATTACCAATTGCTTATGCGAGCTAGCGATATTCCGCTCACTGCTGTTAGTACTCCGAGCGGTATGCTCTGGGAGTGGTTGGTGATGCCCCAGGGGCTATTGAATGCTCCGGCTACGTTTAACCGTTTGGTGATGCAATTGGTTCGACCCCATCGAAGTTATGCACAGACGTACTTTGATGACATTTTGTCCACAGTCGAGCTGAACATGGGCGGTCGGATATTGAGAACCATATTGTTCATTTACGAGCTGTGCTCGAGTGCATTTGCACTAGTAAGTTATATGCTAATGCATCTCAGTGAATCTTTGGGCCGAAGAAATTCCCTTTCTAGGGTGCTTCATTGGGAAGCGAGGCCTCAGAGCGGACCCCGCCAAGGTCAAAGCCATATTCGATTGGCCTGTTTTACAAAATCAGAAGGACATGCGTAAGTGGCTTGGCCTTGCCACTTACTTACACAAGTACAGCGAGAATTACGCTGATATGGCTCGGCCATTATCTAATCTCCTTATAAAGGATGTAGGATGGTGTTGGCATGCCGAACATGAGGATGCTTTTCAAGCGGTGAAAGCTAGCCTTCTTCATGCTCCTATTTTGGCTTTGCCAGACCCTGATCGACCGTTTAGCGTGGTGTATGACGCGTCGGAAATTTGCCATTGGCAGTGCTCTGTTACAAACAGATGATGAAGGCCGTGAGTGTGTGGTCGCTTTTGAATCTCGCCAGCTGAAAGCTGCAGAAAAGAACTATCCAGTTCATGACAAAGAGCTACTTGCGATGAAGTATGCCCTGGTCAAATTCAGAGTTCATCTGCTGGGCTCAAAGCCTTTTGTGATCTCAGATGATGCGGTCGCCGCATCGCTCGCAGAGGATGGCCAGATGGCTTTCATTCTTTGCTGAATGTAATAATCGCGGTGAAGTATAA